CCAAGCAGATTGCATCTCGTAGACCTTTGGATTGACAAGCCCCATGTTTAGGAGCTTATCAAAGTAGATGTTATAAAGTAGACCCCAGCTAGATCTCCACTGGTAGGCTAGGAGCGTGTGCTTCCCAGACGGATCAATCGCGAGATTTTCCCACTGATCGTAGTACGACGTCGCCTTGTCGGAAAACTTGGCAGCATCGGTTGGGTTTCCTACAACTCTAGAAATGGAAGACATAGCTTGCAGGCCAACGATGCCCTTAATAGCGAGGTTTGTTTGATTCGCGAGTTCGCCGGCGAAATCGTCTGTGCTGAGTTGTGCCGCAGGGACGAGCGAGAACTCGATCAGATATTGGGCAAACTGAGACAATAGTTCGTAGTGAGTCACCAACCAATTCGAATCGCCAGTAAATTTGTAGTATGCATAAGCCATTAAGATGAAATTTCCACTGTTTTCCACCGGCATGTACTCATCAGTGCCTTCAACGTGACCAGTTGCCAAAGGGAAATGAGCGCCGATATCATGTGTCGAGTAGGTATTGGGGTAGAAGTCACCCCCCTGTAATTCGCACAAAGGCTGGAAGATATATTTGAGTAGGGTTGGGTTTGCGTAAAGGAAAAATGGCGACGCTGGATAAAGGACGTCGACGGTATTGATATTGCCATTACTGGATATTTCCTTTTGAAACATGAGTGGCTCTACGTTATCATCTGCACTCGAGCTGTTGGGCACCGATGGGGGGACAGCAAGAACGTAAGCTCCCATGACCTGTCTGGCTGATAACGCTACAATCGCGTAATACGATTCCGCCTCCGAGACGAAAGGAACCGCGATACCAGTAGCATTAGTTGGTTCAAGGAATCCGTAAGCTGAACTGGGGTCAAATATGTACTGCTGTCCATATTGATCGGTTCCGTTCAGGACATCTTGCGCTGTATAAGATGAATCGTTAGTAAAAACGACAGCTGTGCCATTGATATAAACTGGAGGCTCGTTCCCTTGGTAGAAAGCATTGACATCAGCTCGAAGCTGCGTCTCAAACTCGTTGGCTAATGCTGCGACAGTATCGAAATCATTCCAATGAAAACGTATCATATCGTGCATTTCTCCGTAGCATTTCTCCCACCATGGGGCCAAGTTTGACAATCCACCCTTGTGGAGATATCTCACAATTGGGTTCTGAATTGAGCCGATGGTATAGCGAACGGAAGTCTCTATCACATCACCCATGTCATGAGCAAAGGCATAGACAGGTTCTTGGTTCCCAAAGCCGCGAGCTGCCGAGCCAGCATTATCATTGAGAGCGCGATTGTTAACAAACCCAAACCGGACGCTCGTAGCTGATCCGCTTTGGTACGAAAAGTTTGCAGCTCTAGCAGAGCTTGTAGTGAAAGAGAAATTTCCCCATCGAGGGACCTGTGAGGCCTCAGCAAAGAGTTCGGGAGATCTTGGCCGTAGGATCCAGCTAGTTGGGACATCAGTTGAATTTCCTGTTCCATTCCCACTTAGAGGGCCGGTGTGGAACTCCTTTATGATGTCGAATTCATTCCCCAGTCCAATCCACTGAGCGTTCACATCAGAGTAGAATTTCACATGATGTGGACGGCCGTCATTTGACTGGACGGTAGTAGTTAAATAACTAAGAGGAATAGAGCTTCGGCAGATATCATTTGGCGTAACTGGTGAGAAGAAGCTGGCGGTAATAATTACCGGACCAGCTAAGAAAGTAAAGTTCGAATATTGAGAATCGAACCTAACTTCGAGGGGTATCGTCGTATTGAAGTATGGTAACTCCGGAAAATCATTAATGGAAGTGCCCATGTACTCGAACGAGTTGCCATCGACTACCACAATTCCTTCCCATCCTAAACCCTGGCCAAACCAGAATATGGGATTTCGATTACTTAGCGCTCCTTGCCCAGCGGTAGAAGACCAAGCGCTAGTGTAAGGAGACCTGACAGCCAAGGGGATAGCTGGTGGTCTTAAGGGGTAATACTTTGGGGCATCTGCGGCGGCGGCGGCATTTGGATAAATAGTGAAATTAGTAAAGGGGGTTTGAGCTAGGACACTAGGCAAGATGGCTGTAAGGGCACAAGAGGCTCCAATAGCCAAGTTATGAAAGGTAGGCATGATTGTTCTAGCGTCCTATCCTTAGATATAGAAAACGTGTTAGATCAGTCTACCCCTAGGGATACCAGTAGTCGAATTATACCTACATCACGAAGTGCAGCACGGCACGTATATGACTTCATGAATACACAATATTACTCACCTTTCGCTATGTAGAGATAAAGTAAATAACGACATCCATAGCATGAATGGGAAGATATTTCGGAGTAGGCGGATGAGTCTCCAATAACGGGAAGCCGATATTATTCGACGTGGGCAAGGAAGAGATTTAGGACTGGAGGGTAATAAACGACCGCTGCATAACCATATGAAAAGATTTAATGTATGGTTGATCGGAAGATAGCAGCAAGTAATATCTCAATATAAATAATTTCTTGGTGAATTCTAGGAAAATTCAGAGATATTGAGTAGATAGATGATGGTGGTCCTGTAGGATGCAACGAAAGAGATTCAATTTCCATAATTCCCGGATGTGTAAGATGTACCTAGCTTATTATATTCTCGGTGAGGGAAAATTGATTCCACTACATAGATGAAGGGCCCAAAGTGTTAAAGGTAGTAGCCATCAAATAATGATTGCTATTTACGAAAGGCGTCTTACAGTTGAGAAGAGTATTTGGGTTTGAGGTTACTGGTTTGAGGCGTACGGCGTATTGTACCTGCTTTAACGCCGACGGACTGACATCACTAGAGTTTACATGTACTTGTTGATTCTACCACATGCGAAAGAGCATTTACCTACCTATGTAGTACATACACGGAGGTTGGGTGTATATCAAATCCCAGTTACACGGGATGTAAGTGGGCACGCAACTACCGTTATCAGACGCTGAGTGGATAGTTTAGTGCTCACTCAACGTGATTGGCTACGTTGCATCTGAATTTACCCTTTTAGGTAATTAACTATTTGTGCTACGGGAGGGGCACGAGGAACTATGTTCTGGACCGCGTATCCATTCGATGCTTGATTGATTGTTGATTGATTGTTGTGGAGTAGTGTCCACAACCCGGGTTATACGCAATATACCTACAAAAGCCCTCAAGTTCATGGGTTCATCCGAAGTGAGCTGACCAAGCAATTTCAATCCTGGGTTGCCTAGCGTGTTAATGGGTAATGGGTAGTTGGCGGATTGGGTGGGCACCTTAGTTAAAATAGGTGATTGTGTCGTACGTAAAGTAGAGTTGCTTGGTATTTCATCACGAGAATATATACCTATCTACCTGGTATCTAACACTATTGTTCTCAGGCACGTGTTACACCCGTGATTAATATGTTATAATGTTATACAGAAGTTGATTCTAGTCGGAACTACACATTCCACACCACATGGCCGGCCCGTAGGCCCCCCCTCCACCAACGGCGAGCCCCGCGATTCAACAGCCTTATGAAGAAAACGTACCGTAGGTACCTAATCTACCTAGGTAGGTAACCATGCTTATAATCGTCTGAACTATATGCTTATATTGACTTATTTTATTAAACATCCAGGTCACTTGTAGGTAGTAGCACTAGCCGGCATACGTCTGTTCACCTAACACTGCTCCTATCCATTGCGCATATTAGGTGGTGATGGAGAAACGCAATATGTATATGAAATTCACGTTAGCCGCAAGGCAGATGATATGGAATCGCCTTCGGATAAATTAAACCTAGAGTTAGCATACTTCGTATAGGAATACCACATGCTCATGCTTCGCGTTCCTGATGCGGGTACGCAGGTTGCATTGGGTGTAATACGTTTCCCCTAATTCAATCCTCTCTGTACCTGATCCCAAACAATAGTATACTCAGTATCGTCCCGAAGATCCATTAGCTTGACGCCCGGGAGTTGCCGCACGAATTGCCGTGGTAGATTCGCATCGACCACGATGATATCGCCTTTTAGCCATCCCTTATGGATCTTTAGCCCGGTGAGGTTGAGCTCAAAGCGCGTGACTTTTCAACATAATGAAGAAAATGCCGCTTATAGAATGAAAGCTATCGCAACGGTTTGCGTATACCCTTGGCATACGGACACAAATACCGTGTCTGCTGCTGGCTTACCTACTACTTAAATTAAAAACCGTAGTAATCTAATGCCATGAGGACGAAGATCATATGGAAGAATGATACTAGCGATCTCTACGACTGACTGATAGACAATGTGGTAGTCGGGCAGAAATTGACACAAGGTCAAAGTTTAGTCGGCAATGATCCTTACATGTAGGTGGGGGCTATGATCATCTAGGAATGTTTTTGCTTATGTTCACCATCTGAAGCATTAAAGCAATTGATGGGGCAAGAGGAAGGAAAGTGTGAGAGGCGAATTCGCCTGCTTTTCGCCCGTCCCAACCAAAAAGTCCCATAATCATAATATCCGGAGGTTTTACATGTGCCTTTAATGTGGGGAGACGATGGTGTTGGTCTTCCAAGGAACGAACTGATTTTCATTTATAATTAAATGACGTTCGCTGGATCGGCGGCTGGGAAAAAGAGGGATGCCGACGAAATATTGCCCAAGTGCTAACACAACTTATGCCAAGATTTACCGACATGATGCTAGAGGAAAATCTCGTCGACGGCTCGTTAGTATTCGCCTATCGTTAGATTGATCGTGCTGCGGCTGAACTTTGAAAGCCGTGATGCCGACCTCAATTACTCGGTTTGAACAGCTCACCCCCCACAGGTAGATACCTGGTAACTCATGCTAGAGAATATGTCCTTCCGTATTGCATTCACTCGAACCCTTGGCTTGACTAGTGCCTGGAAGACAATTCCAAAGGAGTACGATCCGTTTGGATCTACACGGGCGCAAACGCCTCGTAACGAGAAGGCCGTGATACATGCGTGACTTATCTCCCATACACTGCCGATTCTGTGTCCCGGACTACTGAGCGACTTCGGAGGTCGTTATCCCTCAATGGACGTCAAACTGCGCAAACGCCCTTTTGCGGTACTTTTACTTTTTTCTCCCAATCTTTCTGCTGCGGATGATCGTGCGGGTGTATGAAGGTGACCTCAAACTCTGCTTCTAACAATAGTGCTGGGTATTCCGATAGGAAAGACGCCCCGTCCGCTGTGATATCGGCCTAGGCACATCGAATAGAGGGTGAATTGGAATGCGTCGATACCGCATATTTCGTAAACAGTACGATATTTGCTCTACCACTCAGCGTGTATCCCTCCTATCATAGATAAAAATATTCACATCCTAAGTAGGTAGATGTATTTGTTAGCTAACTTATGTTTTAAGTTGGACGGCTTAAAGCTGCATATTGATTATTATGATAAATAGGTTGAACGGCGGTGTGGTTCCTCATAATGAGATGATGCCATTCAATCCAATATTTCGTTATTGTCATAGATACTCGATTTCGCCTTGAGCATTGCCGCATGACGCCTAGCATGGCATTTCGCATCTTGCTTGTGTAGAGGGTTGTATAGCATATTGCATTCGTTGCATTCAATGAACCCTTTATCTTCCATTGAAAGACTTAACGTCGTTTGTACTGTAGCGGGTTTGGAAGCCTTCTTCGTGCTCCGTTCGCACTTCTTAATGTCTGGCAGATTTGTTTGCTCTGTGACCGGTAGGTTGAGTATCTCCGAGGAAACTTCTGATAAAACTGCTGCTGAGCCGGTGGACAACATGGACGACCCAATATCAACGTCATTCGTTCTTTCCTTTTCTCCATCCTTTTTTATCGTCTCTCCCGCGTTCGATTCTTCCGATGTAGCTCGAGATGTTATACGAGTGGTGAGTCTTCGTCGATTCTTCCGCGGCAGGGTAGGCATAGGAGGGGATGATGGAGGTGTATTTATGGGATCAACTGGCTCAGAGGATGGCTCCGACGAATTGAGCGCGCGACTCGACGAAGAAACCACATTGAAGTAGCTCATAATCGTGCCTTTCCTTATAGGTTGAACGGGAGGTAGTATAGGCGAAGGGGGAATGCCGGCATCACATGTCGACTCTATTGCCTCATCGTTCGATATTATAGCTTTGTTGATATCCTCGATGCATCGCCTTTTCGGGGTAGGTTGTGGCGGTTCACTCGTTGAAGTGCGTTTTCCATAAGTTCGAAGAACTCGACTATATATATTAGCGCCCAGATCGCATATAAATAGTTATACTATACTAACTTGCGTTTGGGTTTCCTCGCGGCTCTGCAATGCTAACATTAACACACTAGATACTCAATTGGATATAGATATGCGTACCTCGACTCGGTTCGTACCTCCGAGGTGGGCGAATCCATGTCTATTGGCATGCAGAGATTGCCCTTTCAAATCCAAATATAGAGGTATTAATTAAGAAGAGAGGTAAATATATTAATGTTAAAATCGAGTCAATCGTAGAGCCGATTCAATTCCGTATGACGATGCATAAGAAAAATATCCAAAGTGGAGGATGAATACCAAGATATGGAAGGGAGACGCGTAAATTGATATCGATTCCATATAAACGCGCCTCAAAAACGCGAATGTGGGGTATTTTGTATATGAAGTACATAGTGTACATCCTACCTAGGATCCCTACTCGACCGTCAGCAGGTGACATCACCAACTTAGCAGCTGTCCACCCAGTTTGAAAAGACAATCTCACCATCACAACGGCGTAAGACAAAAGTGATAATACTAACCTAGACCGGTGCGATTTATAATTTAGACAGGATGTAGCATATTTTAGTGAACTTATGTTGACCATTTTGTCCTTCGGCGGATGTTCGTTTCGGGCTCCATATTTTCTAGTGTAAGTTCTTCGACGGAACCCTCCTTAACATTGTCGTCTTCTCCAACAACCCATGTTTGAACGATCTTTTTCACTTCTTTCATCTTCTTTTGCTGTTTCTCCCCTTCTGCCATTCTCCATGTATAAGCAGAATAGACAGCAACTTCAGCGATAGCAACGATGATACTACCACCTAAACTTAAGAATAGTCGTGCTGGAACGCCCCACCACCTGGCAGCTAACCAGAGCGCAACACCGCAGCCGAATATGCTAACCAGGAAGTTGATGACCAGGGTTATCTGCTTTTGTATATCGCCATGTTCGATGTCTTCGCCTATGTCCGAAGCCCTGAAAGGCCGATTGACTTCAGCGAACGAATGCGCCATGGGATCCGAGGGAAACCTGCGCGCAAATGATTCTCGTGGCGGAGCTTTCTTTAACATGCGTTCGTATGATCTTTCTTCTTCCTCGTGACGTAATCGGGCCATTAATGCTTTATACTCTTCGGTCTATGGACATCAGGGTTAGTAAATATAGATACCTAGGTAGATACCCGGTGATAAGGTATAGGGGACGGACCGGCTCTGGCTTCGGTGGCGGGGGAGGTGCATAGACCGTCGCACCTCGAAGCAATTGTTCTAGTCTTGTGGTATTATCGTTCTCATCCTTAAGACGTTTCCATATATCAATTATCTGTCCGTGACTTATTGGGTTTCCGACCGAGGGGTCTTTTAGTAAAGGTTCGTCGTTGCTCATTGCAATATCGTCAAATCCGGGTTTAAAAGATTGATTGATCGCCTCCACTATGGAGGGGGTCATAGTGAGGAGTACCATATTGTGAAATGGTGTTGAACATGTTATTGTAGAAAGCAACTTACCTATGATTGAATAGAATGCGACGAACTAAAGCTTTAGCTTAGGTATTGTACCTAGGTACCTTTCAACAAGATTCCATCTGGCTAACATCAGCGATAGCTCCAGCCACAATACTAACATTACTAACAGCCACACTATCGGTATTTTTTATCGTGTAGTCAGCATCGACTGCCTCGAAAAAAAAAAAAGGCAAAACTAATATTTCGTAATCTTTAGCTCCCATATACTACATCATTATATCGTCAATGCTGCGACCACCTAATTTACGACTCCCATAGACCAATTGGGCCCTTGTACTAACCCCAAGGCCAGGAAATCGGTTATTATGCAACTCCGAACAGGAGCTTCGGTGCTCTCTAAAGCACGCACGGCCACCACCGGACGATCTTCAGTTTTTTCGTCATGCTCGGATTGCCGGAGGGCGACATCTTTAGAGGTTAGGATACGTATATCCAGATCTCTTTACCATAATAGTCCCAGAAGATCCTCAGCATGGGCAGCTGCAGTTTCCGTTGCCTCGAATATGGTCTCTAAAGCTGTTACTCGAGCTACCAAGTCCGAATTACCTATAGACCCGCTACGAGTCGTCGCCAAGGAAATGAAACATTTAACAGGGAATATACGACAGCTTTTGGGTTCGGGACATCCTTCTTTAGATCGAGTCGCAAAATATTATACACAATCCGAAGGAAAACATGTGCGGCCTTTAATAGTTTTACTTATGTCAAGAGCTACCTCATTATGTCCTAAAGCTCCAGAGTCTTCTTCGCCGCATACAGTACCTGTCACGATAGACTCTTCAATATCTCCCCTCAGTGTCCTTGCCGATGCCAACCCCTCCTCACCCCACGCCGACTTCTCGTCGCAACCCGGCTCAGACAGTGATGTCCTTCCCTCCCAGCGCCGACTAGCCGAGATTACAGAGCTCATTCATACCGCGTCGCTCCTTCACGACGATGTTATAGATCATTCTGTCTCACGTCGAGGGTCTCCTTCCGCCAACTTCGAATTCGGAAATAAGATGGCTGTTTTGGCTGGCGATTTTCTTCTGGGGAGGGCCTCCGTTGCTTTGGCCCGGCTGCGCAACGCCGAGGTTGTGGAGCTCTTAGCGACGGTGATCGCAAACCTAGTCGAAGGCGAATTCATGCAGTTGAAAAACACAGCGCGCGACGAGCGGAACCCCAAATGGTCCGAGGAAATATTTACTTACTACCTGCAAAAGACATATCTTAAGACGGCTAGTTTAATTTCCAAATCGTGCCGCGCGGCCGCGCTTCTCGGTCGAGCAGACGCGGCCACTGTTGAGTCTGCCTACTCCTACGGAAAGAATTTAGGTCTCGCGTTCCAATTAGTAGATGATATGTTGGATTATACCAAATCCGGGAGTGATCTGGGGAAACCTGCCGGAGCCGATTTAGAGTTAGGTCTTGCGACCGCGCCTTTATTATTTGCGTGGAAGACGACACCCGAGTTAAGTGTATTGGTTGGGAGGAAGTTTGGACAAGAGGGCGATGTGCAAAGGGTAAACCGCATTGCCGACCACTATATTGCAATCTGATATGCTAATCTTGTCTATAGGCGCGGGAGCTAGTCTACAAAAGCGATGGAATTGAGCAGACGAGAGCGCTCGCAGAGGATTATTCACAACAAGCTATCGCGGCCCTTAAAGACTTCCCGCATAGCGAGGCGAAAGATGGCCTCATAGAAATGGCTATGAACACGTTAAAACGCCAAAAGTAATACCATTTAGACCTTGATTATCACCTGCAAACGTAATGGTGTTAGATGGTCATGTAGTTGGGCGTTGTTATAGCCGTGTTTAAGACATAGCCGCGGCGAACGGCCTTTATTACATCAAACTGTAGAATTATGGGCTTCATGTATAGACAGAACCACCAAACTCAGCATTGGAAATTGGGCATCCGTTCTTCGGAATCACATCTCGCAATACGTAAGATCGATCATTTTGATATACTTCGCCCAAGACCCCCCAAGCATCCACCCATAAGATAGCCCTTGTTCGGTGAAAACGTAATAACGTACGTTCGCGGCTTAACACAAGCGTGATCCGCTCCACCCTGAAACGAGACCGGCATCTTACCTATTCAGATAATCCTTAAGTTCTTAGCCCTGATCTTCGCATAATTCGTGGGGATAGCTCGACGTGCTCTTCGGGGATGAAGTGGATGGTGTTTACGTGACCCGGGTGAAAACACGCAGTTACAGCAGCCTGCTTCCTCAATAGCTACTTCTGGGAACGCTTCGTCCTTTCCCAAGCATAACCGCGTATTTAGGTCGTCGAGAGGCTCTAATCAAACAGAGTAGACGATCTATTATTTCTATAGGCACTGTTACGAGCCAGCTACTAAAGGGGATAGAAGTACAGGATTCGCAGAAATGTATAGAAAATGCTCGAGGGATCCGAGGAGGATAGAACGAGGTATTATCGGGATTCTTGATGAGTTATCGAATGTCTTCCAGTCTACTTCGTGATGATGTCAAGTAGGGGCAGATGGCTCAACATCCGGGAGGCTTCAGTCGATAGAAATACTTACAGAATTGAGAGTAAAACGCACAGTAGTAGGACCTTCTTCGGAAACCATACGGTTCCTTACGAGGAAGCGCGTTATAAACTTAGATTCATACCGCATACTTTATCATGAGGCTTTTGTCCGAGACGCTTGATTTTAATATACTTGCAAATGCTCGTGTCTTAACAGGTACTCAAGTCTTAAATAAGCCCATAGAGTTTCTTGATCTTATGGCTATGTGTTTTTATATAAGGTAGAGTAACCGGTTCAGCTTTTGAAGCCCTGATATCCCACTATGCTTCTATATAATCATGCCAATTATTTATAGATAATCTTCGTCTGAATTCTTGTAGTGTAAACTCGGATTCACCGTAAAGAACCAAGGGGGCCTGATTGGTGAAAAGGCCCTGTCGTCCAGGGACCCTCGTAGGCTATCAGTCATTGTAAGCTCTCCACACCATAACTAGGGTCAACTGCCTAGTGGCAGGCTCACCGACTGGCCCCGCGATGTTCAGCTGTAGTGGCACGGGTAAGGCGGTTCCTAAGAGCTTAAATATATTCGATTTGTTCTTGGCGCGTTGGCTGTGAAAGATTCGTCCATGAACGATTATGAACTGATGATAGCGAAGACTGTTGATTGGTTCAGCTAAGCCTCCCTGAAGCTCCTCATACAGATATAGTTCTGCCCTATCTTACTTATGGAATCATGATTCCCCCATATTTTGTGATGACGCCACGAGAAAAGGTTCGCTGCAGCTGTTGTAACTTCGCGAGCTGCACCATCGTACCACCGACCATACATTGCACCTCCATGTAACAGGGGCTTGGATACCTGAGATACAGGTACTTATGCAATAGAACACAGTGTTGCTTGAAACTACCTATAGGTATGTATCATAAACTCCGCGACATCTTAACGTTAGACTTATATAAGAAGCGAATCACTAATTTGTGTCTGGCTTCTAAGGCCGACTTAGAGAGACAGAATACTATAATATCTAGCAGAAATTTACTCAATTCGAAATAGTCAAGTTTTTCAGGTGTCTACAGGGAAGCTATTCACCTAGTGGGCGACCTCCCATCATCTTGAAAACCCGTAAGTCATACACACATTCGGTCAGCAAAGCTGGGGTAGCATCGGGGATCTAAAACAGAATAGTTCACCACCTACATACATACATACATACATACATACATACATACATACATACATATATACGAAGGTAGACAGTAGCCTCGATAGTGGAGTGGCATGCATGTCAGTTCTGTATGTAAGAATCGATGCTATGTTAGCCTATGTAGGTATTCTTCGAGAAGGAATAATATGTAAGCTTGTCACCACTCGTCTACTTCTGCGCTCTTGCTTCCCGCATTTATACCTTTGAATGTTCTCTCACGGCTACTTTATCATGAAAGCTCAAGATACTGATAATTCTACGCCGAGCAATGTCATACCAATTGGGCCCGCAACAAGAGCCACAGCAGCAAGGGGCTTACGATGCGTACAATACGTATAACCATAGCAATGGGTACGGGTACGGCCAGCAAGCTTATACTCAAGCGCATCAACAGCAATATAATACGATGCATTCTCAATCGCAAACTTCGTCACCAGCGAGTTCTCCTCAAGCACCGCTAGCGACTATATATCATCAGGATGGTATCGCACGCACTCAGACCTGGGTCTCGAATCAACAACCTATTAGGTCACCCCCGCCGGTGGCTAAGACGTTCTCCGGCGAATGGACCGGTTCGCCCGAAAATACGTTTGACTACCGATCACAGAGGGGTTATTCTCCAACGATGCCACTACGACCTCGGATGGAAGATCAGAGAATATGCGGCATTCGGCGGAACACATTCTTCATTGTTTTAGCCATTGGGTTATTTTTGCTAGTTGTCGCTATCGCAGCTGGTCTTGGTGTCGGTCTAGGGACGAGAAAAAGCAGCTCCGTCGCCGTCTCTGCCGCCGAAAATTCAAGGTGTGTTTCAGTTTCTTTCGGTGCTATTTTCCCTTGGTCATGAAATACCTGAGTGATCGCACAGTATGGGGCGTAAGATAAACACGACATCATGTCAGCGATCATGAGAAAGGCCGTAAGAGGTATACTCCTCTCACGTCAGCCGGACGAGCCATCGCCGATGATGATTCGAGGAGCTAGATGATGTTTGGCATTCCAAGGCGGCGTCCAATAGATGCAATAAACTAACACATGTTTCCTGTAGTGCCATATCGTCATCTTCATCCTCGTCAGTATCGTCGACGCCCACTACCCCAACGTCGACGACACCGTCATCCACAAGGGTATCGCCGACGCCAAGCTTCACAGGAACCTTAATACCGGGCCCTGTGATCTGCCCACAGAATAATAACACCGTGTACGTATCACGGGGCAGTTCTAAGCCGTTCAATGTGCAGTGCGGACGCGACTATAACTCGGACGGTGGCGCCGAAGACTTGGCGCATATGTATAAAGCTAGCATGTCTCAGTGCATCGACGCCTGCGGCGACCATCCGGGATGCGTCGGTGTAGGCTGGGGTAACTATGAGGGCTCGACCGAGTGCTGGCTGAAAAGTAAGCTCGGTAAGCCCAACTCAAGTCCTAATTGGTATTTCGCGCAATTACAAGATATGAATCTTGCTGGGTCTTAAAAAAAGGAGGGATACTGCGTTTTTAGAGCAGAGTACTAGCATTTATACGGGTGTTAGCAGAGGGAAAAAGGGATAACGGTGCAACGGAGGTCGGATGGGCTTTTCTGAATTTAAGCGAGGCGTTCCAGAGTCGGGATTCCCATATTGTTATTATTCATCAATAGATGCTGGACTGGGGATTAGATGGCAGTAGATAGGAGCATTGGTGCTTAGAGCCTTCAAGATACCTTTGACAAGATACCTTCGATACACCTGTGTACTATCTACGGCAGTAAGCGTTACATACGAAATATTTAGTAAAGCTGGAAACTTTACCACTAAAAATCTCCTCATACCTCCAGCGAGACAATTCAAATGAATAATACTTCAGTTGACAGGCAAAGCAAAGTTATATGCTCAATAATTAGACAGCGACTTGAGAAAGCCTCGGCGATGCTTTCGTAAGATCATGGCACCATTCTGCATCGCGGGAACATGTAGTTTAGGCCCGGTTGGCTCGAAGGTAGCCGAGGCCTTAGCATCGGCGATGTTCTAGGCGTTCAAGCCGTCGGTCTCCTCTCAAACATAAACTCGGGCTTCCAAACAATGAAATATCGGCGTTCTATCGCTTATTAGTTAACAAGCGATAGGTAGCTAAGAAGATCCTCCTGTGCAGATGAGGCATAGACCTAAGACATGGTTAAAAAGGCGATAGAGATAGGCTTAAAAAGAAATGTCGGTGAGCTCGGTGAGCTTGGTAATCTAACCAACATGCCGAGTGACTCCTAAGTGAGTTTGTGAAACTTGCATGCGATGGGAGTAACCTGATAATAACGGAGACGTCGGTTTAGACCATGAGATATCATGCCAAGTGGGAGATTGGTGAGCCATAGTGCATATCTACGGCATTTAGTGTATTAAAGTAACCGCCAGGTGGCCGATATAAAGTTGTGGATATCGAAGGATGAATATAATTGGGACGGGCATCATTTAAAAAAGAGGATTCCCGCCGGCAACCTTTCAAGACCCCGCCACATCGCCGTCTATGCATGTTCCCACCCGGGGAATCCATCGGCTATGATATTAGGCCCGGCGAACTAGTGGGGACATATAGGATGGGGACCTGTGCTAATAGACTTGGAGGTAGTTCTGTGAAAAAGGGGAAGTCTCATAGAACATTGACATAGCTAAGTTGATTTCTAGTCGAGATATCTAGAAAGAAATACGTCAAGAATACCGCACAGTTATTGGAAATGTAAATGCTAGGTACTCGAACGCGTGAAGCAATAATAGACACATGCATAACATAGAACTCCTTAGCAGGCCTATTAATGGGATCCATCAAGACCACACTCTTGGGTGACGGGTCGCAAGCCCCCCAAAACGCCCCCAACCATCCTATCGGGTCTTGTCATGCTACCTGTCATACCCAACCTTTACTTACCTATTACTATGGCCTTATATAGGTATGGTCGAACCTGGCGCATGGTTGGCGTGCGTCAGTTCACTAATTCTAACCCAACATCGCCGCGTCGATCTCATGTAGGTTAGTCGCTAGTCCTTCTGACCATGTCGACTTTTCGATTCCACAAGCAAAGAAAACATGGTAATGGACGGCGACCTGCTCCGCTCCGCTCTGTAAGCAAGATGCAGGCCTAGTACCTAGGCGAATAGACCTCCTTCTCTCGACGCTACCACATGGCTAAGCTTGTACTATATCATCTATGTTAGGCGCTAAAATACGAGCAAGAGACCTGCCGCTATGCAAGCACTATCTGTTATTATCATTCTACCACACCGTAGCTTGAATAGATATTATATAAACATTACCCGTCTGTATCCAATCTTCTGTTAAACATTGTTAATGTGCCAAAGGCAAATAGGCGTATACGGCGAGAAGGAGAGACCACTTGTAAGTACATATATATCCTGGTTATCATCAAACCGATAGTTATATCTTATTCGTCAAGCCTTTTTTTATTTTTTTTTTTTCCCTTTATTTTGCTATCCCGCCCACTTGCTGCACCTATTTCTCAGCACTGCTGAGGCCTGCAGATTTTACGAATTTTCTGAACCTTCACCATGCAGCTCATCATTTATATGAGCCCCCCATATCTTATATATAACCTAGCTTGGACCTTGAATGGCGCAGATAATATACCCATTCACGACCGGTTCCTTATTGAAATGGATGGTACTCGACTGTCCTGACTTTATCACGATGCCGAATAGAGCAGCCAGTCTTCATTATTTCAAGGTGCACTCGGTGCGCTCGTGAGCATAGTGTTGATCTCGGACATGATGCCCTCGTCGGCCGCCATGCTACTGATAATTTCTTCCTGCGTGAACCCGACCCAGAACGAAGGGTTGTTCTGCTGCGCCCTCTTAGCGCGGTAGATCTCCTGCGCGACGCCCTTTACTTGGCTTGACGCCGTACTGGCTGCCTTCCAGACGCCACTGAGCTTATTTAGAGCTCCGATATTTAGTCGAATTCGTTGTCGAAGTTCGTCTTCGTCTTGGATAAGGTACTCGAGGGCCCATTTGCTAAGGTGGACGATTGAGGAAAGGGTCAGCACACACGTGAAAAAATGCGTATGGCTAGTGATTGGCACGTTATACGTAACCATCTTGCTGATCTCGCACGAGGCCGTGATGATATGCCTGGTGTGGATATTGAAATGATCACCGCTCTCGACCGCCCGATGTGGCGCGCAAGCCGTTACTTCGCGCGCCGGTGACGAGTCTAGCTGTGAAAGAGGCTGGTGCAACATTATCGAGCAGCTACACAGTCCATCTTGTTAGTATAGACGGCTCCGCGAGGTTGCATACCATCACTTACGCATGATTAATCATATGGGCTTGGAACATCATCTCGTCTGGCTGGCAGTTCTTGTTCAGACTGTGCTGCTTCGACTGTGGCAAGTGCATCCTCCAGTTAGAAAGCAAGGTTTCGATCTTGTTAACATTTTCGTCACTCGGATAACCGCTCAGTCGCATCATGCGCCCAAGGTTCCTTATGGATGCAACGCGGTAGGCGAACGATGAGAACTCTCGTTCTTCACCGGAGAAAATCTGATCGTCAAAGTCCTCTAAATACATCGGGCGCGGGATATTCTACCAGAATTGGTCTGTTAGCTAATGTATTCTTAGGTGTCAATACTCATCAGAACGTGAACATACTCCTGATGTGTATTCATGTTCCTCGCACGGAAGACCAACATCAGCCACGATATCAAAGAGGAGGAAATTTGTATGACGGTGCACTCCGGCAACCATTCCGTCCACAACGAATAGGTCCCACCACGTCCGTCGCCAACTCTCTTCTAGCCTCGGGACGTGGCCTCCGTGCGCGGCAGCGTAGCCCCTCGTATAGAGGCCAATTTCTATGGCGATCCGCTCGACGTCGGAGAGAATTTCGCGTGCCCTTTCCTGTTGGCAGTTACCGTCTAGTCCTATAAGGAGGATGACCATGGCTTGGACTAAGTAACCATCCTTGACAACGTTTGGAGCGTAGACCAAACGCATGGCCTCCTCGAAGAACGTAGCACGGGCAGGACCGGCATCAATATATAAGGACCCAACCCACCTCATCGCTGCGAGCAAGTGACTAAGGTCCATCTCTTTCGACATCTTGAGCAGGTAATCCTTTGGTAGAACAGCAGGGTGACCAGGATAAAAAAAGTAGTAGAACGCATCGATACAGCGCTCCGGAACAGTCTGTGGTCGCGAGCTGGCCTCTACCAGAGCACCATTAGTACCGTTAAGGTAAGGGTTTCTATACAATTGAAGGCCGTTCATGCCAGGGGGTGCAAATGGCGTTGCAGGCGACTCGGAGATTGCCATGGCCGGATTAAAGGTCCTTAAACTCGGAGGCGCAGCGGTTGAAACCGTCGCACCCAGCAGCATCGGACAACTATCGCCACCGGCGGAGGGCGGAGAGTCAGTTGCCTGACGCTTATTTGGGTTTGGGACCGCATTCTTTCTTGGTCCTTTATAACCGCGACGAGAAGCCACGTAGACACATTCAGATTCTGATGTTCGACAGCGCGAGCACGGATACTTCCCATCACACTTTAAATGCTTTCCCCTCTAGTTTCGCAAAAACATGTATAGTTAGCATAGTTAATAGCTTCATTATGAAAGTCAACATTTTCTAGACTCACACATGCAAGACAAGCGGCCTGCACAGCATTCTGGGGTGATGCCCGTGAATCGACAGCGCCCGAGTCAGAGGGAATCGATGTTGAGTGGGGTGGCTGATTGAGTATTTCCGAGCCAAGGCCATTTAATAACGCGGGAGATGGATTCGAGATCGAAGGCGCAACGCTGGGCGCGTGCGTGTAAGATTCCATTGGAGACGGATTCTTATTTGACTACAGACCGACGGGAAGATATTAGAGAATCAGCGACTATTTTTTTTAGGTTCTTTTTCTCGAAGATAAAAAATTCTATGCGGTAGTAAGGTGGATGGACGAGGGATTGCCAATGATATCGAAAGGTCGATGGCGGCCGATCAGCAATTGGATTTAAGTGGCCACTACTGCCACAACCCGAGATATACGGTGACGGGTATTTCCTCTCTAATCTCTTTTCTATCAACACCTCTCTTAAGCAGGCAGGCTGGATCAAAGGTAGTAGATTGTTTTGGTTAAGATACTATAATCAAATAATCAAATAATCAAATCTGATAGATGTCGAGCAAAGTACGAGCGTAGTTCGGTATTGGCGGGTCGTCCGGCTTATCCACAATCGGTCTATGAAATGTAATGAGAAATAAGGCTTAGCGTAAGGGGGGTTGCTGGCAGTTCCTAAGACACTTTGAAGACGGCTTCGAGATCTTAATAAGGCGCTAGAACTAGGTCGTATGCTCGCAAAGAAGGTTCGAGATGGAGATTCCGGTAACAGTGATGTTGAAAGGAGAATTGGGAATAAGTAAAGTGATTAACAAGTAGCAGCCATTGGATATGTACAACGATAGGTAACGAAACTATACAGGGGGTGTTGCTGGCGGTATCTGTCGTGATAGTCGGAAAGTTTTTTTTTTTTTTTTTTCTTCCTCTTCTACCTTGAACGAGATTGGTGAATAAGAAAAAATTGGACGAATAGATTGACAGAACTCGCTAACGTCCTTCGATCGAGGTGAGGGGTTCAGAATTCGCGATGGCGTTTCGCCATGTCCAACCCCATGCTGGGCGTGCAGACAAATCAGGGACCTAAGGTAGACCTGACAGATCCATAGGATTTATGATTATGAATACACCTATAGCGTAATAAATCAGGGAATATTTTGGACGGCAGACAGGGATAGCAAATACACTAGCATCCCGCTCGCCGCGATGGGTCAGGATGCTGGGATGGGTCTGTGTACCAGCCAAAGCTCAGCTATTCGAGTTCAGCTCCATAGATCTAAGGTTGTTATGTACCTCTTGTCTGGCCCGTTGTTTTTTTTTTTTTTTTTTATGTTAATATCTCTGCTGAAAGCAACCATGCTCGATCGGCCGGCGGTGGACGAATCTCCACAAGGAGCCACCAGCAATGAGTAGGGCTGTTCCTAGCAGATGGGGTCTCTGGTCATTTACCGGTCCGCTACTGTGTACTATTGCGCTCTGTACCTTGCCAGCCTCGACGCTTCGAACCTGCTAGCGTGCCTAATACGATTAATTATCACACGCGAGGTATCGAAGTGGCCGGATGTTCGGAAATAAAAGCCTCTGTACGTTACGCATTTCGAATATGTACCTCAGTGTATATAGGTGGTGAGGTGGACGAATACCTACATAGGCCAACCGTCCGATCAGATCGGACACCCATTGTCGCTATCCTTACGGATTATATCACAATAATAATTCTCTATCGCCGAAATCAAGCGCCGGGACCAAGTGGCTTGTTACTCGCCAGAACATCAAACATCATCTTGACATGATAGGAGAGTATTTGGACGCAACGATGCATTGGCTAGCGAAAGATTGGTGGAAGACAGGAAATTGTGGAAATGACAAGTCATTTACGCTGATCTGCCACCGTGGGTTGTATGTAAGCTGTACATTATGTAGTGGTGAAAATAGTGAAGGTTGCATAGCAGAGGAACATCTGGAGAATAGGCGAACACCTCTGCTACAAGCATTTAAAGCAGGCTACGGAATACATACCTACCTACACAGCTGTACATACATATCGGCCTAGCAGCTGCCTTCTACCCTAGTTCACACCCCGTATCTCGGGTCGCACAAGTTACCTACTGCGGGTCATGACATGGATATTCCATGCCGGCTTTAAATACCTACCTAGGTCTTAAATAGCTTAGCTACCTAAGTATATCCGTTTGTAGTTTAGCTCAAGTAGATACTTGAGAGATATAACATTTGTACCTCGAATGCCTTATTCTAGTAGTTACATCTTTATTGTTTAGTACTTTACACCCCATCTTTTCTCGATCTTGATCCAATCCATGGCATCGTCTCCTACGCTGTTCCATCTTATCTAATGACGGCGATGCCCAGACCCTAGTTAACGCCACGCAAATCTGGCGTACCTATTACCGATGACAACTCCTGCTCATCATCAAACTACCTATTACGTCCTCCAAGTCTATAGCGTCTCGTTACGAATTGTTTAATTATTATTGATTCTGGCCAATTCTCGGAAACCAGTGTTACATGGCTTATTTTCCGGGCTACATATATGGACGAACTCGAGATACCTCCCACGAAAGCGCTCGCATACATAGTATATATTTTATGGCCACAGCCTGACACGCAAGCAAACAATGGTACGACAGTATTGATCTCAACCATGCTTACTGAAGTGATGCCATATGAGGAAGGACTTAATAGCTTGGCGCGTCAGTGTGTCTATTAGCTAACATTCAGTTGAGAGACCTGGCATTCTCATCCTTCAAACTGACCGCTGTGTTCGAAGCCCAAGCAATCGTAATGCTACGATTACTTATACTTCCGGATGCTCTCATCTTAGTTCCATAGGTTTTACTCATATATTACATTCATTATTTGCAGATATTTCCGACCTACTCCGCGGATTTTCTCAACTCTACCCCTTATTTTTCAGCCCCTATTGTTCCTTGGCAGGCAGGTCGTCGGGAATGGTTGGGCTACCGTTGGTTCCCGATGCTCCGGCTAGTGACCCTTCCTTAATACTGTTGAGACCTATTAAGCAACTTGAGGTTTGATTCCTATGGGTGTTGTTGTATCTCGCTTACAGTTCAGTCTTTTACGTCTAAAGACGCCCTGCAACCCTGCATTTAATTCAAATTTATATGAACTATTCCGAGTTCATAGATGTTGCGCTTATAGATTACAGGTAAAGCAGAAGTAAAAGTAGAAAAAGATTCCGTAGGATGAAAATTTTCAGGAGTAATCAGTTAAATGAAAGACTGAAGAGGCACTAGATGCTCGTCTATAGTTGTATAATGACGATGCCCCATTGCCTACCGGCATCTAGTAAATACCTATACTAAAAATTCTCACATTTTCACAAGAAACAGGGACTAATGATACTAGGTACGCTTCATCCAAGACAGCTTGACTCTACTTGACCACGACCCATCCAGAAAAGTAAATCCACCAACCCAATTCCACCGGCCACGACGGACGTTCAGCATGCTAAAAAGAAAAAGAAAAAAAGAAAAAAGGAACAGTTACCTATACCAATTTAGGAAACTCCTCGAAACTCACATGTTCTCACAATTCGGAAGTGCTCGAATTGAGACCATCCAACAGGAATCATCAAGCACCAAAAGGTCGAGGAGGAGACCGGAGTGATAAAAGCTCTCATGTGCTGCCAACTTGTAGTTCCGGATACGAAGGTAAGCACGGGTAGAGGTGGTAGGGATTTTCTCGGAGATTATGAAAAATTGCATATACGACTCATCTAACACAACCGTGACTGAGCTATCGCTCATGATCAACAGATACGACGTTTGATCGAGTAGAAAATACGTACAGGAACCGTCGAACCCTCGATTCTCCGCGAACGTTTATGACTTGGGTCTTCATATCTATATAATATATACCTATCTAGGTAGACTAAGTGCTTTATATAGGCAAGTTAGAAAGGACAAGAGATGATAGACTTCCATAAGATTGTTAGTAAAATCGACTATTCAACAGTTTCGACGTCAAAACGAATGTTTATTCACATACCGATAGCTAACCTGCCGCTAACCTATGTATTTCCCCCTTAAACTAACATATGCCGCACCATACTATGCCATACCATGACATCCTATAGTTACCTCATTCAGCGTCCTTATCATTCCGATTGCTGTTGTACAGTTTGCTCTCCTATCTCCGCTGCCATCATTGCCCGGCGTTTCGATAAATGAAATCTGGACGCTGGTGTAGGACTACCTGTAGAACTATCCCCATCCCCGGACTCACTATCAGATTCCATACTAATTGATGAAACAGATCTTGCGAGTGATCCCGAAACACTTGTCTCGCTACCGCGATCACTCGCAGTATCATCTTCGTGTGCTGACTCCGTTGCCTCTACATCTACGAGATCTTCTTTTCGTGTCTGTACAAGGAGCTCGTTTTGCTCTTCCTCTTCGTCGTCTTCGCCTTTGCCTGTCTCCCACATCTGTCTTAGAGCTATCTCCTTGATCTTGCTTCGGACTTCAGCGTCAAACTCGAATGGCGCTGGCTTGGCTATGAGTAACGGCGTGTAGTCATTCCAGTGCACGGGTATTTCGCTACCGTCTTCCCGGCATTTTCTCCGGAGATTGAAAGCCCACACCATCCCGCCCATCGTCAAGAATAGATCTTGCTCTACGATTGGAACGCCTTGGCACGTGCGCTGGCCGAAGCCGAACTGACTGAATCCGTTGAGGTTTGGGTGTACAGAAAGTGGCTCCTTATAGGTAGGATACTTCGGCTCTAGCCACCGAGCAGGATTGAAAGTATCCGCGTCTGGATATACGGACTCGTCGCGGGTAATAGCCCTAATGACGGGTTAGAGAGACATTTTAAAATATGGTCATCTTAGACCTACCACTCTAGGGCGTGAATAGTAGCGCCGGCAGGAATAAAGTAACCATCGTATACGTCATCATTTTCGATGGCATGTGGGATTCCTTCTAAGCGTCAATGAAAAGCACATTTGATCGCAGTAGATGACCTACCTGTCGGAACTGGGGGGCGCCACCGAACCGTCTCCTTCACAGCGGCACGAAGCATCGGCAACTTTTCACGATCTTCCCATTCGGGACACCTTCCTTCGCACACGGTATCGATTTCATCTTGGAGCCTTCTCTGCCAGTCGGGATAATGCAGCATGGCAAGTATGAAGCTCTGAATCGGACTTCCAATCGTCAAGGCTCCGGCGATGGCCATTTGCCCGACAACATACGTAGCTTCGGCCTCGTCGCCCCATTTACTCTTATCATTTAGGCCTCTCGGTTCATTTATGAACGTATGTACAAAACTTGGTTCGGCCTTCCCCTCGCTCATGCGGTCGTGTACGTACCGAACGCTACCCTTCAGAAGGCCAGCTTCAAGTCTATGTCGAGCGTTTTCTTTCTGCTTCCACGGGCTTATAAATCTAGGTATGTGCATAAGCCAGGGTATGGCGTTAGGCAGGGCGCCTGTGGGGGAGATGGTTTCGAGGAGACCGGAAGTCGTCACTCGTAAAAGCTGGGCAGGATGGGGGCTACCCCAAGAGAGCCGCGCTACCGTGCGCGATGTGAATTGCTCGACATATTCCCGATATTGTGAGGGGTCACGCGATAGGAGGAATAAGAAGCGATCTCGTTCTTTTGTCGGGTAAGAATATAGTGAGGCGTTAGCCGACACGCTCATCAACTGCTGGCAGAGCTTCCGCTGACGTTTCCAAGTAGCTATATCTCATATTAGCGAGGAATGACATTTTATCATCATGTTCCTGCCTACCATTATGCCCCGACAGCGCAAGATAGTGTCCGCTTGTTCGATTATCAGGAAGGCCAGGAATCTGTGGACGGTCTGAGTAGTTGCGTGCCCGCCGCGAGAGCAGATCGACTGCGATTCGTTCTGTTGAAATCCAGACGTGGACCGTACCAAACATCTTGGTCTGGTATATTGGGCCATACTCCTTACTCCATTCGTAGAACTTCAGCCATGATGAATTCACCGGAATATCATGTACGCGGCCGATCAGAGGCAAGGCTATATCAAGTTAGAAGAAGGCACCTCGTGAGAATAAGAGGCTATGAAGACTAACACTTCGGTCCGGGTAGTGGTCGAGCATTAGGCGGGATCCTACGTCTGTCGTTTGTTTTTTTCGCTATGTGTACCAAGCATAGCAGTAAAATCGAAACTATAAGCCAAGAAACCATAGCCATCTTGAACGTCGTGAAGCTCCCTAGGAGTCGAGGCGATAGTATGAGAAGGGGAGGCCTAAGGACTTCGGCTAGGTGCTAAACCATGCTGGCAACGCGTCTCTTCCTCGTGGTTTTATAAGATAACCAACTCTGACACCTCTGACACCTATACGGCTGGTCAAGCCACCTTCGTCAACATATTATCTCAAGGGAGAGTTCATCCTGTCTAAAATGGACCCCCTGGCCCTCAGCTCGTGCGGTGTAGTCCATTCCGCGAGTGTGGCTTGGAATGCCTTGATTTAGCTTGTCTCACGATGCAGACTAGTAGCAAATCAAACTGAAGAATTCATAAATGGAGTATACTATAATACTGTAGCTTCGGGTTCTCTCCGAGAGGATGCTGGAGGTAGGATTTGACCATCCCAGGTTCAACCAAGCTAATGTTTCAAGACTCGTACAGGAATAGCAATAGCTCACTTATATCACGCGGATTGCCACAGGCCGGGGCCAGACCTGCAATTTTAAGACGAGGACTCGAAAAATGTTCTTCGTAGTGGAGGGTTACAGCACCTTAAGTCGGCGCGTATAAGGTTACGGGTAGCCTTGCAAGAAGGTTGGATCGAAGGGAGCCCCAATTGGGGACGCAGTGGGATCTAACAACTGGTTAGTCCCCAATTTAGTCTTCGTGGAGAGGGCAGAAAATTAGATAAACGTCATGGATCGTCCAACTGGTGATTATAGATAGTGAAAGTTGTGACACTATCGACTTTACCTCGAATGGTATGGACTCGTTCAAAATGAGCAGGTGCGTAGTCTTATTACTTATTAGTACGCCAGTTAGAATACACTTTGGCTAATAGTGAGGAGAGCTAAATGCGAGTCTCAGTTGGCTTACATCTGTTGACGATCATCTAGCCATATGGGGCAGACATACAATACCGAAGTGTGTTTCACTGGTCATGATATCAATACCTAGGGCCACGTAGAATATCTTCCAAGTATGTTTAGAACAGATATGACGTGTAGGTAATTCTGAACACGATATGACATGAGGTTGTTCGAGGTCCAAGACTACTGTTAGCATAATAGGTACTTAATGCAAGTAGAGCTATAGACACTTGACAAGTTCCTTCATCTTTCATGTTTTCTGCTACGCATGCTATGGAGTAATAGTTATAACTATAAGCCAAAGCATAGAAGGTGAATAGTGAGTGACGTTGATGTTATTCTGGAGTCGCTAGCTTGTGTATCCGCAGTACATAATCGACGAGTGAGGCTCAGTAGTACCGGGGAAATTCGGAAGTCCTCCAAACCTAGCTTAGATAGGCCACGGACACAGACATATAGGTTAGTGGTATTATTCATTAGCACGTACATAGCTCGTGAGGCTGGAACCAAGGGACCCCCCACATATACCAGGTCCTTGGATAAAGGTTGACAGGGAATGCCGGCCAGCTATGATCAGTCAGCTGGGGGTCTTTGGGCTAGAAGTTAGGCCATATAAATCAACTAAAATATGACGAATTCAATGCTTATATGCGTAACCCCTTGCAAGCCCACCGTCTTTACAAACTCGCCTTCGGGATTGTCTAGCTAACACTAGCTAGCGTATGCAAGCCTTTGTGATAGCTTTTATATCGTGCATTCGGCCGGGATGCCAATCATAAGTTAGAACCACGTGATTGTATATAGGCTGGGTCCGTCCTTAACTTCAGATTAATATTATCGCGTCGCTAAGGGACGCCACATGCGTGCTGAGGCTCGAAGTCATCTAATACGAATATCTATATGTAGTGAGAGACATTTCTGTACGTCCTTTTTTCTTTTTTTTCTTTTTCTTTTTTTTTTAGCTTCTACATAGGTACTATTAACTTTCTAGGAATATGATTCGCTGAGACTTACCTGAGTCGGCTTAAGAGATAATAAGAGACTGATCTCAACCCATATCAACAGATAAAAGCTTCATGTCTTCGTCCAAGGGTTAGTCAGTCTCATCGCATTGCAAGTGAGTTTTTGTCCGGAACCTGGTTGAGCGACCGTCCGTTCCTTGGGCAGACTATCGGCGCACGTTCGGGTCCGAATATTATCAAACTATGGGCGATACCAGAGGTTACTCATCACCTTAAAAGAGTAAGATTAGAGTAGTGATGCGCCCACATCCCGAAGCTTATGTTGCGCGACTCAATGCATGCGGCTTAGTATTGACTACCTATACCAGGATGCTCTCTTTCACTGAAAAGTTGTTAGCAGTTAACCCCTTCGTACTACCGGACAAGACATCCTTACCTACTAAGGTACCTAAGGTAGCAGTCTTAGCTGTGGTCATCTCACAATCTCTTATACGCAATTTCCCTCGCGTCGAGCAAGGCGACCCTTAAATTTAGAATATCCTCTTAAGAGAACAATCTTTAAATCAGACTTAAATAATAGTTAATTAACCTCTTATACCGAGAAGTTATTTCCTTAGACGCCACCCGCCAGGATTGTACTTCGCCAGCACTCTACTCTGCTTCACGAAGTGGACATGAAGCTATGCACGGAGATATTTCGCATATTCTGGGTACCTTAGGTACCTAGGTGTAGAATAGTCCTTGAAACCCTTAGCAACAAATACCTTTGCATGCCATTGGCAACTTAACATCAATTTTCTCATCTTAAAGAATCTCAGGGGTACCCAATACCACGTGGTTGAAAGTCACCTCCATTCTCCTCTCTCTTAATTTATCATGTCTCGTATTTCAACTCTAAATCGAAATAATTAGGCAGGTTCTTCGATGTCCACTATCTCGTGTAGTGGCTTATGTATACCTAGTAGTACCGAAGTTATATTGCATTCAGTAGTTGCGCGGCAGTACAACCTCCGTTCGTATCCGTAATGACCGCAAGCGAATGCGATACACATTGTACATCGACAGGACGAGGCGGATAACTACCTCCTATAAATAAGATAAATATAAGATTATTCGGGTTCAACAAGAGGAATGTTAAGGGAGAGTGCAAACCATACGCAAGGACCATTAACTTGGATGAAATACGGACCAACGATTATCTAGGTCCTAGGGGCACAGACCATCTGAAGACTTGCATTGATATCGTGTTGCACCTATGCCAGATGCTCAGTGTACAATACCATAACGTAGAGAGTATCTGGTGATCTTCAGCCGACACCCGTCAAGATAAGTAAAACTCGTAGCTAAACCTTATACTGCGTTTGCTCCATGTAATCACATTTACATCTAAGCAAGTTACTGACGTGCAATGAGTTTACTTGGGGGCTCAGCCGTGAACCGGCAGTGCATTAAAATTACGACACGTATATGTGTTATGTGGTCCGGGCGGTAACTAAGAGTACAACAACGGTGAAGTCCTATTTTGATAGGCACGAATAGGTATCATGAGCTTGTACCTCACATTTGCAGTCGGGTCATTCTGCAATCCTTATGCTCACTGCTATAGATGCTCTCCAACCTCCTGTCAGAAACAGTATTCCTCTACATGCAAGTAAATCCCCTGGGCGCCTGTGCCTTTGTGTACTGCGCGTTCGTCGCTCAGCTTCGCCACACTGGTTCTCACCGTGGTCACTAAGGATTGCCCACCACATACCACAACTCCCGTTTCTCCCCCAGTGGCTTCAACGGCCATCCTGATGAACTTGGCTACGTCCGGTCTTGACGCCGAGTGGTGTATATGTGAAACGGAGCTTGTCTCTGAGAGATCCATACGCGACCTACCCATCAACGGCTGGACGATTCCTTCAACATTCGCTGATATCTTTACATCTTCGAATACTTTTTTCTCGTGCGTTGAAGAAGTTGAAGATGATGAAAAAGTCACGGCACCTAGTGTTCCGAGCTGCCCATCCCCGGTCACAGCAATATGGACGAATAATTCGATGCCTACTGACTTCGCCTTTTCCGTGGCCTCATGCAGACGTTCGTGATAGAACCTAACTTCCTCGCCCTGCTTAGCCGTCAAAAGAAAGTCCACACGCTTGGTGCATGGCCTTCTCTTGGAGTGAAGTATGCTCTCTAGGATAGGAAGCACATACGACGCCCCAGTCGATGCGGATATCAAGACTAACGTTTCGAAAATATCCCATCGAGGTGGGTTTCCGTATGGGCCTATAACCAAGGATGTGAGAGCCTGCTTTCTTCCCAATGCTTCCTGTTTTCTCGCAAACTGGGCGAGTCGTTTGGAAAAGCCCGAATGAGATCGTATTACTAGTTGGATGCTGTTGCAGATACACGTTTCAGGAGTCTGATGAGTAGAAGCGATCGTGTACGGGTGCGCTTCAAATGGGGCTACTCTAGGCAGCCACAAATAGATATGCTGCCCTGCCCTCCACTTGAAGTGAACATCCTTTATAGTGAGCACCGTTATAGACTCTCCAACCGGAGAGAGTTGCGTCTTATAACCAATCAACTGTCCCCCATGGCAACATGAGCGGTTCGGGCGCAACTTGATGTTCTGCAAGAACAAGAGACCGAGACGGAACACTCGATCGAAACAGAGGGCGGCGACTGCGAACCATACATTATATCTGGCACTTACAGGAATGTGAACGTAGACAAGCCATAGGAATATAATAGCCGCCAAGATGTGTTGAATGACGAAAACCTCGTATGCGATGGATCGAAACGGTTTAAAGGATGTGATGTTCATCCACAGTAGAACCCCCCAAGCGCCAAAACCGTACTTGACCATATCCATCATCCCAAGTTCAATGCCGACTATGTCGCTGTCGACCCAGCCGGCAAAGAAACAGAAACCATGTACGGTTGTAGTAATTAGCATGGTCCGGGCTGCCCATCGGTGGAGCCAATTTAACCTCTCGTAGCTGGTCCCGGTGATCAGGGCGATGACGTTAGTTCTGGAGGCTAACAAATAGAGGAAAGGCACCTGCGTAACCGTTACCCAAGCATTGCGATACCCCAACCTTTCCATGAAATTGACATCTAGTATCACCGCATCTTTAAACATGATATAAACGACAGCGGCCCAGTAGAATAGGAGGAGGAGGATGTGACCCATAGGTGGCGGTGTTAGCCATGACAAGTTTCGAATCGGGACGTAAAGCTGTGGGTAGCTCATCTCCCTACAAACAGCAGTTAGGGTCGCCCATAGTTGCGAGCAGAAGTTCGTAGGCCTCGTAGGAAACCGCACTGAGTGTGATATAGACCTGCGTAGTCTATGCTTGGGGGTTAGTCCAACAGGGTAAAACACCACCAATATTTCATTCGATTTAATGGAAGCAGCTCACCTTGACCTATATAGGACGGAATTGATAATGCGGATTATGAGAAATAGGACGACGGCGGCTACGATGGAATACCAGTAGCCTCTTGCATAGGCCTTGTTGATCGTTGTGATATCACCACCCAGGGATGCGCTACCCATCTCCATATCCATCATATCCATGTTCCCCATTGCTGTCTTAAATGCTTCCGCTTAGCATTTGTCGAAAAAGTAGTGCAATGTGCAATAGACTTAGGAGGTAGTTGTAGACAAAGCCTGGGCTATCGGTGGCTTTCGTAAGGGACAGCTGGACATTGCAGATTCCGTATCGTGTCGAGATTCACGCAATGCCTTTTGAAAAATTTCTCTAGGGAATTAGGTATATGAAAGGTACAAGATAAGACGATAATTTCAAGTTTTGGATTGTGTCGAGTCCGCCGTCGAGTTGTGCCTTCGCCTCGGGTAGGTACATGTAAGTAGAAGATGGGTATTTGGAATGAGTGACGGTTGGATAAGATAAAAGTCAGAAACAGTGAATGGTCTGGACCAGATTAGATAAAAATACCTAATCAGCTACCAACTATTGAATTAGGAAGGCGAACTGGGTACGTAGGTTAGGTACCTAAACCAGGTAGATGGGTGAACTTGTCGAGAAGGAAACTGCATTATAAGGAACCTTATATTTTTAGGCTAAGGTACCTCGAGCAGTTTCATATTTTAACTTTTCCTCGGAACGGCGCGTAAGTTTCATAAGAAATTCTGTACCGCGTACCTAACCGACTATATTGCTCACATGGTTTAATAAGGAATCATAACACAGATCTTTGTTTGCTATTATCTAGTATCCTAATGACCCTTAGTAACACATAATAAAGAGCGGTCTGCCCAAGTAGTACTAAAGAAGTTTGAAACGACACTTCGATCCGCCTCTGCCATACGTCTATGAGACGCCCCGTCAAACCGCGTTTGATAAAATCCCAAGGTCGCATGATAATTATATTTGAGTAGCGCGGCAGCTGCGCGGGTATCGAAATCTAGATCAAGGACGTTTCGGGCTGGAGCCGTTAGTGGGAAAGAAGGGAGATAGACTGCCCTAATTGCTCTTTCTTTATGCCTGTAAAGCACGCTAAAGCGCTAAGTGGATGCCGCCACAAATTGCTCAAATAGCCTCAATCGGAAATCGCTGAGACTATGTATCAACCACTCAGAATGAGGCGGGGCAGGGCTTAGATTGGATCGGGCTGGATTAAAACTCCCTATAATTGGCGGCTCTACCCCCCTGTATCCTGGTAAGAAGACCCTGAGAACCAAGATGTGTCTTGCATGGATTCCCCACACCGACGACAGGAACAGCGAGAGCAAAACAATGTGATCTGGCTGTCTGGGAAAAGGACTTTCCTATGCTTATCCCAAGTTGCGAAGGGATATTTACTATTTGAAGTTACATAGAAAACCATGCCGTCATTAATTATGTCACTAAATCCTATTTGGGCATACACTTGTGTCCACGAAAACGGTATGTATTACACAAACATGGGCACAACCGATAGCCTATAGGTATATCATGGGATGATCTTGCTCTTGGTTTGACATTCTATTAAACAGGTATGGACTTAGACCTAATTCAGGGTTATTTTCGGCTGGTAGGATGGAACATCCATGTTCTGAAGTAGCGGCCGTACTTGACCGGTCCCAAGTTACTGTGTACACAAACAAGCCCAACGCTACACAAGCACCTCAAACTGACGCTTCCCCGTGTACTCCGTAAATCCAAAAGCTCTTTCCCGACTCGATTGGGGAAGGTCTAGGCTCTCGTCTTTAGTGTATCCAAGTACGTGGGAAAAGAAGGAAGTAGCCGAAATACAGATTTTTAACAGGTAGAAGTGATAAATTGGCAGCCCTTCAGTCCGTCTCCATCTTTACCGTTTCTCAGCCGAGTTGGTGATTCCGAACTTCGTCCCATCTCTAATCCCCCATCCCAAATTTCTACCTACCAGTATCACAACTCATCCCAATTTTTATTCTCTATTCAATAACGTGATTCACTTACTACCTACCTATCGAAGGTAGTCAGTCAGTCATTCAACAGCTTGTCTTACCTGTTACAGGTTACATCAAAAGGTATTCCCCTTGCATCTTCTTCGTCTCCTTTCTCTCCCCTCTTACGCGTTCCTTACCAATTCCTCCCGCATTCCCCATCCCATTCTTTACTCCTTTCTCGATCTCTGCTCAAACCCTTGATCCAACAAACAACTCCAAAACCTTCTATCCTCGAAAACTTATCTGATCCCGATAGTTACTTCTACCAGTAAACCAACGAACCGCAACCAGATCTAACGGTCACCATGTATCTCATGTCACTCTTTGCGACGGTGCTATTGCTCTTCACGAGCATCGCCAATGCCCACTTTACCGTAGAGCACCCTCCTACTATCGGTCAATTCAACGACGATGCCGAGGGTGACCATCCCTGTGGTGGCTACTCACCTGATATTACCAAGGTCTCTACCACGGATTTCCACGTAGACGGCGATGTCATCGCCACTACACTGACTCATCCTGAGAGTACCTGGTTATATCGTATCAACATCGACCCCACCGCACAAGGCAACTGGACCGCAGTCTGGCCTATCTTTCAGCAGAGCGGCCAAGGAAAGTTTTGCAGTCCCCGAGTCACCATTCCTCGCGAATTTGTTGGCAAGAAGGGTTTCCTCGGCATTGTCTCTCATGCTGTAGACGGATTTCTATACCAGGTAAGTTCTAGATCCTCCGTTTATTAATTTTGCTAATTTAGTAATTTTAGTGCTCCGCTGTTCACTTTGTGGAGGGAACTGCTACTACACCCAGCGATTGCACCAACGGATCAAGCGTCACGACCAGTTGGACTTCTGATGATCAGTTGACTGCCAAGCTCAACGAGTCTACTCCGTCGCCATCTGAGCACACTCCCAACTTTGCCGTCTCGAGTAAGGGAGAGGCATTCCAGGGCTTCAGTGGCATGCTTACGATCAGCCTGATGATTATTCTGGGCGGAATGCTGACGGTTTAAGGCAAGACCCTCATGGCACGGAAATAATTGGAGATACGCATGCTTTTATTCTTTTCGATGCATTGATTACGCGGAGCAAGGTGTCCTACTCTCGTAATATCTTTATCCGTAACGCGAGATACCTGGGGCGGCCCTAACGTATGGTTAGAAGAGGGCGTTCTTACTTTCCTACGTTATAAGTAGATACCCTGAGTGAATTGCGAATTGCATTATTGCCTTACTATTATTTGCTATTAATTTAAATTCAAGAGGAAATAACCTCTCGTTGGTTTCATTTCCATAATTAATTTGGTGACTATTGAACATCATGGTCTTTCACAAAGATATCCTGGGCGGCCGCTGATACCATATCCGTCGTCCGTCCCGTATTTCCGATGCTAGTAGATAGAGGCGTCATAAGCTCGACTCCCTTACCGTTTAACAAAACACCGAAGTACATCAAGGCGGATATTACTGAAATTGGGTGTATGCTTGCATCTAATCGATATCTGAGGGTATCTCATCGTCTTGTCTGGAATCGACCAATCCTAATCCATTAAACTCCTCAAGTACTCCGCCTATTTGTCCGTACACTCATATATGCATCTTATCCATATCGGAATCTCAAGCGCTGCTGCTCTCGCTATGGTGGCCGTAGAGTTGTTCACGCTTGAAAGCGGAGAGCCTCTTTTTTGATGCTTTTACCTCGCCAGCACTTCCTATTTGGGAGCCAGTCCCTGATTTGTGGATATCGTGTAGCGGGGGGACCTCCTCTTCTTCCTCTTCCTCCGTGATGCTACCTCGCTCGCTATAGTCGTCTAAATCGGAAATTTCAACTGACTCATTCTCCGGATAGTAGATTAATGGTTTGCCGCCTGGGAGCCGTACGTCACGCGCTTCCAAGGTTTCTGCGATGTCGAGGAGGAGCACTTCCATAGGACATATGTAAGCAACCTTTTTGCGCCCGCTCCACGCAAGTACGTGTCCACAGAGGCGACCATGTGGTCGATCAACTATCCAAGCGCCCGAATCACCTGGAATACCTAGCGGTAGACTAGTCCGAGGATATACTTTGGGCGGGTCTTCCGTAGCGGGAAGTGGGTATCCCCGTACTGTCGAGCATCTACCGCTGACCTGATACGTATGGCTTGGAGATGACCGACCGTAAATCTTGACAGAAGTCAAAGCCGGTAAAATCTGGCCCATCTATTCAAACACCAATACCATTAGCTAAGACCGTCTCTAGACTTAAACTATAACCAAAATCGATAGTAAACACTTACTTGCAACCCACTCGTGCGTGCAATGCATTGAACCTCTAGTCCTGGCAGAGACTTTGCCGGAACCACTTCTGTTGGATGGATATTCCCTATTGAAGTCGTAGAGCGGAGACTGCTGGATGCAGCATGAGGGATGAGATTATCCGGGGGTAGCCTCTCATCCTGGAAATCAAATAGAGCCCAATCAATCTCGTGAACAAGTCCGTTCTCATTACGTCTGCGTATCCCAGATGAGGCGTACATCTCTCCAAGCCTGTATGTGTCGATATGATCCTAGTAATCAATCAGTTTTATACATGTCTTAATTGCGGTTATGTGTAACCTGAAGGCTACAGCGTATCAAGTATACCAACTTACCTCATCCATCGTCTCTTCTGAGGGATAGAACCCTTCCGGTACGTCGTCAAAGGCAGGCTGGGTGACTATATATCCTATACATAACCCAGTTAGTCTTAGGCAAATAAACTCCCGGAAGACTTTAAACACATAGTAATTGGGAAATAACCGTGTTATTTTTGTAAGGGGCCGGGGCGCATACTTGGGAAGGAACCTTACATACCATCTCCGCAGCCGGGCTCTACGCCTGGGATATCTCCAAGCTCGGTGAACTCTTCTTCCTCATCGCTTCCCTCGTCATCACTAGTAATATCGGTGAGGGATAATTCTGATTCGGAATCCGAGAACTCCCCTGCAAATTCGTCGCTGCTATCTCCTTCTAATAGGTATACCGCGGCATTGCTGCGACGAGGTGCGTTGGCGCGCTTAGGATCGGTCTGATCAGAAGGATTAAATTGGTCGGTTGGGTCCGGGTCATCCAACATATGGTGAACCGTCATCCCGTATGGCTTATCGTCGACGAGTATTAGGCCCCCGAAACTGACGGGGGGGAGGTGCCTGTCGCCTACCCATGCGCCAATGCTCGCACCGTTTTGCGGTCTCTCTTGATATCCCGGATTAGCGACCTCGGAGTCATCTTCGTCATCTCCATCGGGAGAAATTGAATCCTGGCTCTTGGCCATACTCCTGATAGGTCCTTTCCTAGAACGTGCCATAGATCCACGGCAAACTTTTAGCCCAAATTCCGTCGTCCCATCAAAAAACACACCAAGTTTCTTCTTCAATATAGCTCGGACCTTGCTCACTGAAGTGCAAATAACTAATACAGTCGGCTTGGTCTTCTGGGGCGACTCGCCAATAGACTCCAAAGAAATCTCGACAGACTCCGGGTTTTTGCGATAAAAGTGCCGTAAGGCCAGGTTGATTTGAGGCATCAGTGTGCTATGCCATTGTTCAATCGTCTCACTTGATAGCGGTACTTGAGGATACAGTCGAAGCTTGGGTCGCGTGTCCTTTGGACGGTCTGATGTACTCTCAATAGTCTTTTCGTCTATTAATATGTCAGCATAGTAACTCTGGCTATAGGGGAGGGAGGGGGGCTCAGCTTACACTCGGGGGCTTGTTTGATACCACTTCCTGTTCGCTCCCGTTCTAATGGTACTTGGGGACTTGATCCGTGAGTCGGCTGAGCGCTGACGGACGGTCCTGCCGCAGACTCAGTCACAACTCCTTCTCTTCCCGAAAACCTATCGGAGTCTTCACTTATTCTTTCGTCCAATCCACTTATTCCGTCTAAGATGCAACAAGCTTCTAGATAGCGGCTAGCTCTAATTTGAACTTGGCTTAAAATCTCTTCGGTGGAGCCAGGATGGGAAAGCTCTTGGTCAATCGCATTCCAACATGTCTGGACAGCTTTCATATACGGTGTACCGCAACGTATTGCTAGTTGCCGCAGAACGGACTCTGATATGCTAGGTGACGCTTTATCCGGAACGAGATTCTCGAGTTGGGTCCAGAGGCCGATAGATACAAGCATCATGGCTAATGAGTATAGGTCTAACGTTCTAGTATCGCTCTTTGAAGAAAGGGGTGATTGAGTGGTTGTTCGAGGATCGAGCGGATGGCGATGTAATAAAAAGGTAGAGGGTGGCGCATTACGTGCGTCTTCCTCGGGAAAGATATCAAAAGACGATACGAGAGGTCTCCTGACATCCACCTCCCCCATGGGTAAGTCAGGGTCGTTTCCGGTGGTATTGCAGAAAGATATGGCAGACGCGCTAAGGTTTCCATGGGTGATACCTCTCGCGTGCATATCAAATATAGTATTGACCAAATTATGGGCAAGACGGAACTTGGCCTCCAGCATCGGTTCGAAATCTGGCCGGTTTAGAAGCTCCTTCAGCGTACACAAGTTGTCGAGGGGATTCTGGATAAAGTTATCGAAAGTCACGGGATTGAAACCAGGTGGAAACTGATAGATCAGTGCCAGTCTAGATTGTCTCATATCCTCGTGATATCCTAAAAGGAGAGGAAGACCGATCCACGAACTAGGAGACCTTTGAGAATCCGTTTGGAGGCCGGCACTTAACTTTTCAAACCGAGACATGTCGGGCATAATACCAGTTGCTGAGTATATCGGATCGAATGGTGCATATTCTACGAGGAGGGGAGACCAAGGCTGCAGTCCCTGCCGATGAATTGGTTCCACAAGGGCCTGCCTACCCATAAAAAATATCTCTTGCGGTCGATCTCGTGTTATCTCTGTCTCCGAGACGGACGCGAGTCGCATCGATCTTAAATTTGTGAGAGCTTGCAGGTCGATTTGTTGAGGTGTTCGAATCCTCGTAGAACTATAATGTTGTAGGTCTTCGGTCGAGGCGATAGGTTTAAATTGACCTGCAGCCCGCGATACTGCCGCAGAAGATCGCGTCCGAGAAAGGTCACAGAGTGTATCGATGGATGCGGTTAAATCCTTGACGAGATCCTCAAACCTCCCCTTATCCCAAACTACTAATGGTACCTTTCGGTCGCCTATCCCCTTTTCTGATTTCTTCTCGCTCCCGACGGCCTGCTTCGAAGCAAGCCACAGAGGTTCGGCTTCCGCGAGGATGTCTTTGATAGTAGCCATTATACTGCCTACGAGATCACTCAGGCCCGCTTTAGATAGTGATTCGTCAATCTCGGCAGCCTGGTTCGGATCAGACCATTCTAAGCCCCAGCTAACCAAGCGGTCCTTTTGTATTCGAAGCTTGCGATGCAGGGCTTTTATGTCGGGGTCGTCAGGACTCGGGGCCGATTCCTTGACGAAGTCGGAAGACTTTTTGGTGTCATTGTAGAGCCTACTTAGTCGACGTTGGAAAGGCAACTGGAAGCCGCCGCGGGGTAGAAAGGACTCCATGGTGACTGATTATTGATATAAATACAACAGCCTATGGTATATAAATTCGAACCTCTTAGGTTACGAAGTTATTTTATTTCGTAGAATAGTACCGACGACGTAGACATATAGAGATATATATATCTCGTCGGCCGATAGTAGATAATATAACGTCAGCCTGGGCGGCTCGAATTTCTGTCGTCCCTCCTCAGCACGACATTGGCAGGTCTAGTTAATTACGGATATATAGAAGCCTTAGGCGGTAGAAGAAAACAAATACGCATATATACCTAGATACCTAATGTACCCGTACCCAGGTAGGCAGGTATGTAGGTTAGGTATATATATTCGATAGAGCAGCGTGAGTTGAACCGAGAGGGAATCTCAATGCTACTTGAAATTGAGCTGGTGATTCAAACGAGAAGCGTCAACAATAACCCCCAAACAGGAGTGAGTGAGTTAGGCATACAAAGGGGAAACTCCTCGCATCATCCAACATCAGAAAGCTCCGCCGCCGTCATGTGATGGACGAAGAAGTAATTCAGCTGCCTTGAGCCCCGCGAAGAAGCGCAGCGTGAAAGTAATTTCGGTGCCTAGGCGCATGTGTATGTGGATCCATTGAGAGGGAAGGTATGGGGAACTAGTTCAACTCGGGTTAGACGAATCTTGCTTTTTTATACCTTTTACGTTTAACTGCTGAACTTAGTGAGTCGGAGGGCTGAAAAATGTCCGCGAATGCCAAAACATTTTGAGCAGTGAGCAGTGAGCAGTGAGCAGTTGCTGGCGGCATGCAAAGTTCAAAATGCTGTTGCCTGGATCGAGTGGAATTAAAGTTTGAAGATGCTATAACCTAATTGGTTCTAAATTGCGACTAAGCGTGCAGCAAGTTCACATGTCGTTCAAATTGGACAGGGATATCGTACATTTCGATGTACCTTTTTTTTTCTTCCTTTTTCCTTTTTCCTTTTTCCTTCCTTTTCATCCCCGACATCCGACATACAACACTGACATACAACATTGATGTTTTACAATATGTAGTCCTTATCTTCGTTCAGCCTGATCACTTTTTGTTGATTTAGGTACTCTGGCTCGCCGACAATCCGCATTGTCGCGATATCACAAAGACAACTTATCTTTACTACATCAAAAATCTCATTATGTATATTCTTTAAGCTTCATGTACAAGGTTCGGGGCCTTGTTTTACGGTTCCCGGTTTAAACAGGTAACTATCCAACAGCTAGGATCGAAACTCCTACTATAAAATCAAACGCGGCAGCCATTAATCTCGATCAGTCATCAGCTAGTACTAATGTCTCAGATTAACGTATTAGACCGTGAATCTGAGCCTAGCTGAGTCCGAACCTTCTATTATCTGCTGGCCAGAAGCTTCTTCAGTAAGTCCGATCGTTCGTATTCTCAAGTTGGTCTTCCGTTACTATTCCTTACAAAATTATCATCACAAAATATCACCATGGCTTCCAAATTGCAAGTAGATGGTATAACCCTCACGATTCCCACTGGAAACGGTCAGCACTGCTGGAAGTTCGACATCGTTTATTCGTGTGGACATCCTGTCTTGGAAACACACTGCGGCCACATCCATGACAAGGTCATCCGCATCAAGCGCAATGACCACAGTGGCCCCTGCTGGGCGCGGCGGTGCGCCGTAGCAACGAGCACTCATTTTATCCCCGAGAAGTGTCATCGTTGCGTGATGTATGACCTGAATTCCGAAGGCATCCGGCCGTGAAATTCCTAGATAATTCCTTGCGGTGGAGCAACTGTCGAGTAGATAGTAAGTACATGGTGAGCAACATAAGCAACAAGGTGTATTCTTAGTAGGTACAATACTTTGATCCAGTCTCGTCTATTTTTAGCCTAGGATGGTGTGTTCAAGTTAGGCTTCACTATTTAGATAGGTGAATTCAAGAGTGCCCGATGCATATGTAGGTAGGTAACATCATCTTCTATAAAACTCTTACATCACATTAATAATAATAATCATTATCTTCGTTCAATATAAACCATCATTCTACGCTGATTATATACAGTTAATTATATTACGGATACCGTCTCTTGAACATAAACTGACCTATCTAGGAACTCACTCGACCCTTAGTAAACTATCCCAAGATTATCTAGAGATACTAAGATCACTCATGTTCTTTGCATTCATATATATATGCGGCCGTTGTCATGGCCAAGTAGCTTCTCGTCGTCTGTCAACACGTAGGGTATGTTAGGCCCAATCGTTTAGGATGTACGTAACCCAAGGGATAGTTCCGTACAACTAGCCTATTATTGGACCGGGGGAAACGACACTCTATTATCTATTTTCAGATAATATTTCTGCCTGCTCGTTCTTATGCACGTAAGATTGTCGGTAGAAACTTCCATGAAACCGTCCCAGTTGACAATACGGGTTAGTAGCAAGTGTTCCTATTCTCATATTCGTTCATGGATTATAATAAGTGCGGCATCACTATGGGACAACAGGTTATGATTGGATTGCTAGCTTATCTCTACGGACTCTTACCATGACCTAAATCTTACGATACCAATAACACCTAGACGTTTTGACATTAAAGCTAGCTCTAATATATGAGAAATGAGTTCTCAAAGGTTCCTACTTAACATGTGATGAGCGCGGGAAAAGTTATCAAAGTAAATAAAGTCACATATAACATCAGTCTTCAAGATTTAAAGGAGGATAGGTGTCTAAAGTTGAGCACTGGACGCGATAATCCCGTCGCCGCCTCCTTAGGCAGCCTTATATTTCTATTCTCAGTTATCATAAAAGCCAAGCCCTTCTAGATACCCCGGGACAATCCAACTGGTGCTGAGAAATGGTTCGATCGAGATATCGGATCTGTAGCTCAAAATTGCTTAAATATCCGGCTGCAATGCAACGTTCATAAGTCTCCATATCTAATAGTTCGCGATCCACGAGCGGGGTGATTAGAAAAACATATGAAAGGCTACATTTCACATGGAGAGAGCTTTGTAAATAGTCACACTGGTGTTCCGTCCGGGGGACGAGGGGCCGCGCAAAAACTAGTATCGATTCCCCTATTCGCTAATAACCCGGCTAACCCGCAGGGCACGAGCATCGAGACTTTCATAACACGAGATTATTACTTTCAACTGCCGGCTGCTGTACTCCGTGATGGAATTCGTAGACTTCGAATGAACGTCGGTCCGGGACATGGTGCGCTCGCGCCCCCGAGATCTGGCTACCTGCAGGATCAGGCGGAGGTAATTTAGCTGAGTCCTCATGTCTCGAGACGGCCGGCAAGTCGCATCGGGCCAAAAAGGTGGCGCGAAGCCGGAACGACCTAGAATCCTAATGAGAGATCATTTGGAGGTAATCAAACAGACTCATGTTGGCAAGCGAGGCTTATGCGGCCGCAGAGGCCAGCATACGGTTGTTTGCAGCGCCTCGCGGCATATTCTCTTCATCGCTGTCGTAGAATATTACAGTTAACCTGCATTAACTCATATATCAGCAAAAAGACGCAATGTTGTAGCTCCTGGATACGTATGAATGGGCTTACGAGGCTTTAAGGGGTCGTCGGGATGTTGCAGCTCATTCAACAAATATGGGAAGATAGACTATTCCGGACTCCTCAATAGTAGGGATAGAGAAGGTCGCAACTCTAGTAGAACAAGTGATCAGGTACGAATACGCCAGAACCAAGTAGTCACCGAGTATAGGTTATGTGATACCCCCCCGATACGTAGACATGTCTCGGGAAATAGAATCAGGTTGACGATATGGCATCGCACGATCCACCAGCCAACACCAAACCCGGTTCTGTACCTCACGACAAACGCGGCGTCCAGTTACACCGATCGAGACGGTACTTCTAAAGATATATCCGCAGTTATGGTCCAACACATCATCGCCTGGGTTTCGAACACTGACGAAAGTCAACGTCAAACGCCATGGCGAATCAGGGGAGTATAGTTGCAAAGGATCCGCAGCGAACTGAAGACATATCAGTTCGTACACAGACGATCATCTGGCCTGCTTCAACGTTTGTTACGACGTGGACTTTGGGAACAGGCTCTGACCCGACCGAATCTCCGGCTACCGTTGTCCCTGCGCCAAATTCGAGTTCAACGAACAATGAAAATGTCGGTCCTATCCTCAGTGGTGTCGTGGTATTAGTAGTATTAATACTAATTTCCTGGTTTTGTTGTCGGCAGGGTAAGTTAGACCTGTCTTCAAAGTATGAATACCTACCTAATAGATAGAACTGACTACTATTGCTTTAGGTGGCCCTAACGGTCGTAACTCGAAGCGCTCAAGTCGGCGGCAGGGATCTAGTTATACAAGCAAAGGCAGCTCTAGTAGTTCGGGGGCTTCAAACGCTTCATCTCAGAACGACGCAAGTGTCGGGTCCGCAGCAAGCGAGATAGTTGAAGACCAATGGAACCAAGCAGCACCAGTGCCTGAAAGACCAATACCGGGAATGCCACCACCTGTTGCGGGACAATGGCCTGCACAACAGCCCGGAGTTGGAATGGGACAAATGCCGCTGCCGCCACATCCAGGTATGAGTTTCTCACCAGGCCGCGGCGGGCCCCCGCCGATGATGGGACAGGGGTTACCGGGCCGAGGAGGTCCTCCGCCCATAACGGGTCGCGGCGGATTTCCTCCAGGTGCCATGCAATAGTTCTTTAAACTTCAAGTTTCAACTTTCTCCCCGAAGAGGGTTTTCATCCGGAAGGCTCAGCTATTCTCACGAGTCTCTCCAGGAAAGGGAGTGGCGGTTCATAAAGTCCTTTAGAGCACTCCACTCTGAACGGAATACATAACTAGGCATTACTAGGCATTCCTATAACTCGGGTTGTTTACTGGATGACTTAGGGGAAGGTATAATAATGCGACGGAATCCCGGAGCTATATAAAATATTCTTGAGGAGGGTGTTATGGTTTACGGTACAACACCCTCGAAGAGTTTGACGCATAAAACAGCTGCAACGGCGGCAATACCTCCCATAACGACCATCCATATCCCTTCCCAGCAGCCTTTTTTCACCCTTTCCCACACGACAGGGCCTCTTTTCGTACCCCCATATTGCCAACTACTTCCGACGGATTCCTTATGGAGAAGATAGTCCTTGGCAAACCCGAAGACGAACAAGGCCAAAACGCAGACAACGAAGCTCCAACGAAGGCCATCCGCAACTTCGCTGACGAAAAAGTACGGGAATAGCGGAAGCAGACCACCGAGCATGTACCCGACGGATACTGACAGTCCGACCAGTGCAGGCGGGAATCCTTTGGTATTACTTGTCAAACCATCGGCAGTCGAGTTCAAGTGGCACTGCAGCCGTCGCGACACAGCAGGGTTGTAGTCGATATGATCCTTTACGTATTGGAGAAGATGAGACGGCAGTTCTAAGGGCGCAAGATATTCTAGGATGTTCTCTCGTCCGGCCAACTCGAGCCCCTCGCCGTGATCTCGGTTCTTCATGGCTGTTTCCCCCTTCGCCGCAAGATATCCACTGATGCCCATACTGATGCACCCAGCACAGATTTCGGCCATCCCGGCGTAGATGACCGTCTTAGTGTAACCTAGGGACGATAGTCCTGCCGTCAGTGCGAATGGAACCGTGAGGCCATCTGCGAAACCCAAGGTGAAGTGGGAGAGGAACTCGGGGAGACGACCCGGAGATAAGCTCCATTGGTAATCCTTTTGGAGGCTGGCAAAGCTAGAATCATTACTTTCGCTTCCAGCACTCATCGGAATGCCGATGGTATTTTCTGGATTTGTGGCCAAGGTGGAATAGGCCTTTAGGGTCTTTTGGCTTCGTTGGCGTTGACGGCCTAAACCGACGAAGAATGCTTTAATATCGGTAAGTTGCATGCTGATTTAAACTACAGACGGCTTGATTTGGGGGTTAATGCTAGTGATGCTAGTTGGAGCAATACTTGATCTTGCGGCTATTCAGATTTGAAGATAGAGCTGCATGCAAGATATCGTATCAACCTATTATATTCTTGGAAGTCGACAATGATACCACGGGCACCATCCCAGTGTCGATGCTACATGGGTAGTCGTGCCTACTTGACTTACAAGTCCTCTGCGTATGAGCTATATACACCTGCCTACCTAACCTACATAAGTAATGTGACTATTGACCGAGTTTGGAAAGTGACCGCAGTCTAGCCCGAGGTCGAAGGAGCAGACAAGGAAGGCCAATCATTGAGAAGGGAGTAAGCAGAACGTTTAGCTCTCGGGATTGGCAGCTTAGTGACGTACCAATAAAATGCAATGCATTGTCAGCTGTTTCTTTTTTCTTTTTGAGGGGAGACGACAGGGGGTTCATAATATCCAATGCTTGGCCATTCAAGACTCCACGTGCTCGGCTTGCCTACACCATTTGAACGAACTTATAAATACCAAATGCACGATAAACTTGGTTTAGTCCCAGAATATGAAATGTTCTTCGGCATGTCTCCATCTTTCCATCTTTGAAGAAAGGTACCTAATGGTTATAAACCTCTAGCTTCTGGGAGAGATCGACGACAACTCCTGATAGTCGCCTGACCCTTACCGATCTAGCTATTTTTAGTGATCAAGTACCCAGAAGACTAGAACTCATACATACCTAGGTAAGTAGTAATCTTCAAACTTCTCGTTTGGATACAAGTAAACCGATGCTCACAAATGTCGCTGTCTCCGCGTAAATACGGTGGACTACTATGCCATTAACATCTAAGCTGAGAATTTCAGGCTTTCTATAGGTAACCTGTAAGGTCACCTTCCCAAGTAGAAAAGATGAATGTAACCATACCCCGGTGAAAGGAACTTGGTCTCTCCACTCGTAAATCCTGGTATCCGCCAATAGTTATAACGGCCCACGCCCATGTGTTAGACACCTTTCATCGCTACGGCGGTGTCGTCGATTTCTAGCCTCTTATTCAAAGGTAACGACCTTGCCGTGTCGTGGTAAAAAAGTTGGGTAATTCTTGACCGCTTACTTGGCATCTATGCTCATTGCATTGTGATCAGCGTGAGTTCGACATCATGCACCCTCTCGTTCTCTCGGCTGCGATCTTCGCGGCCAACGTCGCCGCTCAAGCAGAAAATACGTACACTGCGACAGCAACCAGCGATGTTGAGAAAGCTAGAGCTACGGCAAAAACTCTCAGCCCTACTAGCAATGTTAAGGGAAAGGCCTTCGACCGACTCGCCATCATATGGTTGGAGAACACGGATTATGACATGGCAATAGGCGATCGTAAGTCATTCAGTCACAAAGACAGAATAAAATCGGAGAAATAATAACTAAACGGTCAACAGCAAACTTGACGTGGCTAGCCAAGCGAGGCATAACGCTCTCCAACTACCATGCGGTGACGCACCCCTCGCAGCCGAACTACATCGCTGCTATCGGCGGTGACTACTTCGGGATGCAACACGATGACTTCACGCAAGTTGACAAGAATGTTTCTACCATTATCGACTTGCTTGAGGACAAGGGTATCTCATGGAGCGAGTACCAGGAAGACATGCCGTATAGTGGTTTCGAAGGTTTCGCGTATATCAACCAGAAAAACGGCAAAAACGACTACGTCCGGAAGCATAACCCGGCCGTCAGCTACAACGCGAATGCTCGCCTGGTCGACCGTCTAGCTGTCATCAAGAACCTGACCAGTACGTATTTTATTATTACATGGGGGGAGGAATTTGTAGCAACTCCTTGGAAACCTAGAGATCACGACGATTATCTATGATGGTTCTTGAGGATATACTTACTACTTACTAACTAACCTTGTAGCATTCTACCAGGACCTCGAGAACGAGACTCTCCCGCAATGGATGTTCATCACTCCCAACATGACAAGCGACGGCCACGACACCGACGTGACCGTCGCCGGGACCTGGTCCCGGACCTTCTTGGAGCCCCTCCTCTCCGATAAGCGCTTCATGCAAAATACCTTGGTAGTAATCACTTTCGACGAGAACGAGACCTACTCTATCCAAAACCGTATCCTAGCCATCTTAATCGGCGACGCCGTGCCCGCCGATCTAGTCGGCACCACGGACGATTCATACTACAACCACTACAGCGAGATCGCGACCGCTGAAGCAAACTGGGACCTGCACACGCTCGGGCGTTTCGACGTCGGCGCCAACGTATTCAAATTCGTCGCTGAGAAGACGGGGGATACCGTACGCTCCTGGAACGGTGATGTCCCGCTCTCAGATATGTACTTCAACTCCTCGTACGCGGGGCCGCTGAATGAGGAGGGCGGCAACAAGCGATACCCGGCACCGAACTTGGTCGACGCGAGCGACTTGCACAACCGCACCGTGCTACCTAGCATCAAGGAAGCGTGGGAGGGGAACTCAGCACCGGTGTACTATTCTTCGAGCTTAGAGACTCCAGATGGGCAACACCCGCCAAAGGGGTATGCGCCGAGCGAATAGATAGCTTGGCGTATGTCTATAACCAGGTGCCTAGCTATAATCCTTATACCTATAGAATACTATATGTTGGTATTTCTCGATTCCGCCCCTGCCGGCTTCTCTTCACTAAACGGCACACTTTTAAGAGAAATAGAAGTACTGGGCTTATTGGAGAAATTGTCCCGTCGGTCGTATTTTTCTTCCTTCGGTGGTCTGGATTCTGGTCAAGTTAGCATGGACTGATCTCGATGAGAATAAATAAACCATACAGCCTTTTCCCTCTCACAACCAGGTTCATCTTTCTATCAAATCCGGACAACCTAACATAAGCCTAAGATGTAACATAAGTAAAAAGCATTCGCCAGCTAGTCTTGGAATAGCACCTAACGCATCATATAATATATTGGATTTAGAAGAAGGGTGGATAATAGACACTCTAGAACTACGCGATACAACATAAAGTGAAATGAGGTAGTTAGCCAAAAATTCTATTCCGAGGTATCCTAGTTTTTATCTGTCCCGAATTGTTAGGCTGCCGGGCCAGCCAACCGAGTACTACCACGTAACCTATTCGTATGTCCGTCTACTCATCTGTACAGCCAATCCAGTATCCCTAAACCCCAAACTAACATCATCTCCATCCCATTTTCCATATTAAGATAAAGATAATATACAAGTCGGTACGATCCAATAGCTAAAGACGTCAACAGCTATGCGCGCCACAGGATGAATATCCTAGCTCGAGCACAGCCGAACACTATTACGCCACAGCTACGACGCACTCGACACGATGTCGCTTAGGAAACCAACGGTTTACAAGCCGAAATCTAACGTATTTAATTGCTATTTTATAGCAATATACCTTATTCCAACCCTAGCCGCAACTCCTCTACCTTGTCGCAAACGTGAATTCATTCGTGACCTAATGTGCCGTGATAGCAACGCTTCATTCTCAGAAGCCCACTCCACCTCCTTTACCTTCTTGACCTTATCGGTTCTCTCCGCATTACCGCTGAGGCAGGAACGACACCGGTGAGTGTCAGGTGGCGGTATAGAAGAATTATGCATTAGGTCCCAACCTTCTTTCCTATCATAGCCGTACGTCCCACGACGAAAATCATCAGTCATGAACGCCGGCCGGCTTCCGAAGGCACGTGGCCATTTTTTTGCAACCGCCCCGTATACTTGGTGGTATCATAAAGCCACATATACACACAAACGCCGTGATGCTAGACCTGAAACGCCGCTCCCTAAAAGAAAATGCATCGTATATACCGAGAAAATGTTAAGTCGTGATAAAAAAAATGTGAAACACAAGACGATCGTTGCGCGTTATCAACATCAATCCGAGTGCCACTGGGAAATTGCAATCTCCAGTTCCAGCAGACACGTCGAAGATCGTCTAAATCGATATTTGAGGGCGAATATCTGCGAAAACTTGTAGTCCTCTTAAGATTCATGATGGTGTTGCCTTCGATGGGATCATACTCGGTCCCATACGGATTCAATCATTTAACCTCTTATCGCTGTCGCAGTATGAGCGTCTGACAAAAATGGAAAACGATCTTGGGCACTCTGGGTATTCTGGGCGAGGAATGGAGTTGGATCGGCAGGAAACTTGAATGGTGACGTACCAGCAAGGGGAAGGAAGCCAGTCATCGAGCCTGGGGATGTCACATTACCCGTAGGGGTACTGGAACTAGGCGGGCTAAGACTCTGCTGTGACAGCGGGGATTCTGCCGGAGAAGCGCCAATAGCTGCCGACATGTATCCAGTACCAAAGTACGGGTTAAGAGTCTGTCGTAGAGAATGATGTATCGCGCTGTGGTGGTGATGATATGACTGATCAGTAATGTTTGGGCTACCATTCGAACTCGAGTCGGTGCTAGTCGACCCATGAGTTAACAAATCGTCCACCCCGTCATATCGACCACTGCGTGAGGTCCCATCTCTCGTCTGAGGACTGGATTGCTTTGAACCGTTGAACTACATTAAACAGAAAGGGTTAGTCTAAACGTTATGAAACTTGATGTCTTCGGGCGTAGTTCTCGTTTCGATGCGAAGCCAAGATATTACCAGGTGTACGTACAAAGCAGTATTTGTTGAGGATCTCTTCGTACGAAGCCGACGCTATGCTGGCCGAGGCAGAACTATTGTGGGACACCTTCGGTCCCGATGGGGCAGATGAGGACGCGGGCGGGGATCGGTTGGGCTGAGATGCCTTGGGTATCTGGGCAGCGGGGGCGGCATTGAACGAAGCTCTCTTATTGGGCTTCATGTACAAGCCATCATTCCGTTGGCTAGATTCGCGGTGTGCCTGTTTGGCGGCAGTGAGCGAAGCCCCGAAGTCGTACCGATTGGCAAAAGCCTGTCCACTCGGAGCTGATAGCCGAGTCGACAAGTTGTCGCTGGACAGACTGCTCGTCGATTTCGAACCCTTAAGCCGTAGACCGGCGGGCCCAGACTCTCCGAGGACTTCATGGAGGGGTTTCTCCAAAACAAGAAACTTCTCATCGTCGTCGTCGTCATGCCCGAAATCATCCAGCGCACCGGCAGGCATAGACCTTGGGCGAGCCGCTGTCGAGGGATTAGCTCGGCGAGTGCTACGTGGTAAACCGTTAGCAGGGCGAGAAGATGCGGACTGAGCGCCCTTCTTGCCATTTGCAGCAATCGTCTTCTTGCGGAAATCAACTTGGAAATTGACGCCGTCATTACTATCCCAGTATTCGATACCGTTGACGATATATCTGATACAGAAGAACAAAGTCTTAGCTTCGAGATTAGCGAAATCAGACAATTTAAGACTGAACTGAAATCGATCGTGACCAGGTTCAGTTTCGCGTGGTCGAATTTCGTGGTGGAATTCGGCCGCCACTTCGGATGTCGTTTTCCAGTAGTCAAACGTAAATCTGCATACTACCGACTTATGAAAAGCCAGGTTGGCTACGGCTATCGATCCTATCAGAGACTTCTGGTCGGGCGACATCCATACTCTTTCCAACCGGACAGGGAGAGCCTTGCGTATCGGAGTCTCTACGGGAAAGTTGTGTAAGACAAGTTCCCATTCAAACGAAGCCGGCCGCGTGCTCTTTTTCTCGCTGACTCCGAACGGGTATTCGGTGTCGCTATCGTAGTTATCCGCCGGAGAAGTGCCGGCACTGACTGCGAGTGGCCGGTCAACTTGCAGGAAATGACGTACGTGTTCGAGATGCGAGTCGAAGTGAACAGCTTTCGAAAACGTCGGCGTCCCAGGCATGCTGGACGGCCTTCTGTGTGGCCGTAACGCCGGTCGGACTAACTCACCCGACTTCTTTCGTACCATCTGGGGCTTCTTAAACGGCTCATCTTGCTCAGAGCCTTCCTCAGACGTACTTATAGACTCCTCTGCTGACTTGGACATATAGATGTGGGAATCCGTGTTGGATCTCGAGTGAGAGATCTTACGGGCTCCGGTGTTAAGTCCAGTGTTAAGTGCGGGCAGAGTGGCTGTAAGAAGTGCTTGGCGTGATTCCCCGGTTAGTTCCTTAACCTGTGACGGTGACAAAAGAAGATCACCAGGCGAAGACCTGATCGGCGACGTCGAGCGGTGCTGCGGTATCGAGCTGATAGCCTCCTTCAGTTCCTTCATATTTTCAATCTCTCGTCCCCGATTTCGCAATTCGGCAGTTCCTTCATCCTCGCTGGCCGATTCTGGTGGGGAAATGATAGCCCCCGGCGGCATGGCCTGCACATCAGCGACCGGAGGCGGAGATTGTCTGACCGGAATCCCGCGGGAGGCTACCATACCCTTTAGATTATCCGAAGTCCCCGGAGGGGTAGTATCCGGAGTGGGACCATTTACGGTTGCGGGTGATGCAACCGGAGTTGCACTTCCAACCGAAGATGACCTTCGGTGTCTAGTGAGATAAGAGGCAGACCGGGGCAAGGTAGGTCGAGGTGAGGCGGGGGTTTGAATGGTCAAGGATGATCTTCGACTAACGTCAGGAGAAGGGGGGGTTGAGGAAGCAGGAGAGCGGTGGGATGGGGGCGTGTAAGGCATTCCCGAAGATTCGCACCGTCGCTGGAAAGGTAATATTAGGAGGGTAGGGGAGTGGGAATCCGCAGAGTCGGTGCTGCTGGATTTAGGAATGGCAGATTTCAAATGAGGTAGACAGGGGAATAGTCTCCTCGTCCAGACCTCAAGCCACGAATCAGGCCCGGCGATAGAAATAGTAGTACCGGCGACCTTTGAGTTTGGAGGACCGATTAGACACTCGCAAAAACCTGGAAAGGAAAAAGGTCCTGTTAGCATATTTGGATTCGGTGCAAGTTTCCATGATCAAGAGTCTTTCAATGGAAGAAAGAAAGAGATATCACGAATAGAAAAATAGGCAGCAATGGGTGTTTTTAACGACACCTATCACCCAAGAAAATAATATTGAGGTAAGATCCCAAAGGAATGAGAGACATCTTTAAGCTTGGGGCGTTGTCAGAGGTGACGACGCCTAGGAATGATATCTCGCATACCTAACCCATCTTCCCTCCTACCCTAGAATCTAACACATCTCCGCACGTGGTCCACAGGGAGGTTGATGCTGAAGCTGAAAGGCTTATATATATTGGAATGGGGGAATGTTTTTGGTGGTATATATGGAAATTTGACTTACACGAACCAAAGCAAGCAGAACGAACTGCTTACAAAACGCCCATAGAAAAATCCACAGAAGTCGAGTCGTTGAGGCGAAGAGAGAATATGCAAAGGCAATATTCCAGCAGCAATGCTAAACTCTTCTCCGGCGTACTCAACAAGGACCTTTCGACTAAGGATAAACGACGCTGGAGAGACGCTGGGCTGCTGTACAACCTTCTCAACAGGCGAAGCGGAATGGATGTTATATGGACGCTATAAAATAGAGGCCCGGGCGGCGAAAAAAAAACCCCTCTCGAAGCGGAAAATCAAAAAAAAGATCGAGGTCGTAGGGGAATGAAGTCACAAAGGCTGCGTACGACGTTTTGTTGGTGATCGGTGTGGTCCAGTGCGTGGGTATCGGATGGAAAGGGTGAAATCTTGGGAGGATGGTTCTTTGTTACGTTTAATCGGCTTTGTCCCTCTCGAAATCCAGACCAGCAAATACGCACCGTGATCTCTCCTATTATCTTTCTTATTCTTGACGGGTTCCTGGAAGTGTGTGGAGGTTCAACTGGTCGAGACTACAGCTGTGAATTGCAAATATGACGAAATCCGAGTCAGAAAGGTTGCGAAGGGTTTCTTCGATGTTCAGTGGTCCTCAAATCCGAATCCACAAAATCCACGGGGGTGCTAGGGCAAAGGCTCTTTTCTTGTTCAACTTCTCTTGTTCGATAAATCGAAAGGCAATAGAGAAGGATTTTAGGAGTTGCGGATGAAGCTATCTACAATCCTAGGCCTGCCTTTGAACTGTAGGAAGTAGGAAGGGAGGTGGTGAGAGAAGAAAACAAAAATTCGGCGGCGAATGGAGGAAGAAGTTGTGGGTTGGTAAATGTTAGCTCAGGTTTACATATGTACTAAAACAAGGTATGTACT